GACTTTTTTATCAGAGGAGAGAACTAGAACATTACCTTTTCTTAAGTATAATATAGATTACTCGTCCCTGAAAAATATAATTGCAAAAAAAACAACAACAAAAACATTGACCGGTGATACCATGTGACGTCAAACTAGACTAAATAGTTTAAAGTTTACGCGCGGTATTTAAGCCCCATTTATCACACCGGCGAAGGAGTGTTATAAAGCCCTTTATCGCATGGCCGCCACAACTTTCCTTTGAAGATCGGCGTTCTCTAAATTGCAGTATTGGAAAACTTTGGGGGGTGCTCTAAATGAGGTATCAGTACACTTTCTCGCGCATGCCCAGTTTATTATTTTATTTCAAATAATAAAGTGAGCATACCTGAAAAAGAGCAAAACAAAACATTACACAGTTGACAGAACTTAAAAAAACTATTTAACATATCATCTCGATATTTTTACTTCAAAACTTGAAAATGCAAGTATTATAACGATGTTGACTCCAGTGGAAAGTAATCGCCATTTTTCTGCATCCTGACATCGAAGACAAATCTGAAACAATGCTCAAATTATTCATCTTTTTTTTGCTTTAAACATTGCCTTCGTTTTACAGGAGATCTATTCTGACCAGTAAGCCACTTAGTAAATCACTACACGTATGAACATAATATTCTAGCGAAATTATTAATAGATTGAAGTAGTGTTAAGTGAAAATCACTACATTGTCGTTAGTTTTAATAAACTTTCCTTTAAAAGGAAAGGCTTGCTCAGTTGTGCCATCATCCCATCCCTTTAAAATTGTTTTGTTTTGTTTCAATTTATTATCACATTTTTTTTTTGAAATACGGTTTCTGTATATCAAAAAGGGTTTATTTAGTTTTTTTTGTAAAAACGAATATTTTTTGTCAAAAACGATTTGAAATCTATGGACCTTTCCGATTTTTCGTAGTGAAACATTTAGCCACACCTTTTCCTTTCATTGCTAGGTCAATTGCTCACAAACAGTATCACAAACAAACCCATGTGTTATTTTGTGCAAACCAGGTCAACCAGTGACTATGTATTATCTCAGTGTAGCAATTGGATAACAAGTTAGCCAATTTACATAAAACTGTAAACACTGGAAAGGTCCAATCTTTATCGTATAAAAATAATAAAGAAAATAATCAATCGTAAAAATACTAACATTGGCTCTCCCACGTGGAGATCTATCTATCACACTGAAGGCAAAACAAGTGTGCACATTTCATTTCCACTTTTTTTGCAGAGAGAGTCAATCGTTTAGGCAGTTGCTAATTTCATTTACATAGCAGCTTTATAGACAAGTAAATGCACTAAAAGTCTTCGTTACGTGGTACCATTGATAAGCATGTATCAACTATGTTACACCTAAAATATCTATGATCACAGATATACCGACAACACAGGATGCGCTATCTGTAGATCAGCACGTGGTAAGGTTAATGGTATGCATGGGTTATTTTTAGATTACCTCACCAAGACGTTTAAACTCTACGTTAGAATTGCGTTTAAATAAAAGACTCAGTAGATCTAAATATAACTCGATCATGCACTAATATTCTGTGTGATTCGGTCACGATCTATTGGTAAGTAGGACCGTCCTTTGGAGACGGAATACTACTACAGTAACCATTCTCTATTGTATAAAACCAATAAAGACAAAAACCTATTATAAAAGAAACTAACTTTTGCGTCTTGAAAAAGAACTGAAACGGAACAATTTCGTTTATAATTTATTTCTTCCTTCTACTTACGCTTTAAACCGATAAATCAAGTAAAAATAGAAATCCTATTTAAATATATAAACAAACTTTGATTACCGAAGTAACTAAAATAGCTTAGATTTCCGTAATATTACTTTGTCTGATGCCGCAGAATTGTCACGATTGCAATAGGAACTTACTCGGCTATTATCATTAATCCGAAGAGTGACCGAAAGGGCCGAAAAGTTGCGATTGACACGATTGCAGCGGAAACATAGATTGGTTTCCCGTTCAATCATGCACTAACAAATGTAAGCAGGAAACCACCTAACCGGAACAACTTTTCCAAAACAAATTGCCGTGGCTGCAAGCCAAAAAATACGCGTACAAGATATTCCTCTGAAATATACACCGGGGTTCTTATCGACAATATTTTCTTGATTTTATTTTGAAAATTAGCTGGAAAGATGATTAATATTGCGCATTAAGAAAAAATGCATCAACTTACCTCGTCAAATGGTTATTTATGTCCAGTTCCTTCAACGGCATCTAATGGGTGTATTTCTGTGGTTATTTCTAAAAATATTTATATGTTTAAATAAAGCAAATATTACGAGAGAGCGTAAATCTCCAAGAAAAAAGTCGTGATGGTCATGCGATAAAACAGAATAAATACTCGGACTTCACTGGCTGGTATCAGCGCATGGGGCGACAAAAGGGTCAATCATGGAAATTAATCTCAACGTTCCGTCTCGATTAATTTTCTATGATTGACCCTTGTTGTCGCTCCATGCGCTGATACCAGCCGGTAAAGTCCTTGTATATTTTCTATTACTACTACATATAATACCTCATTTGCATACGCCCTTCTGTATCTATTATGACGTCATCCGGTCCATAAACCGCATACAGACCGGGGGCGGTCCATAATTCTTATATGGACTGGGTGACGTCATATTAAATATTGACGTATGCAAATGAGGTATAATATTTTATTTTGTTGTTAAATGATTCTTTTTACTGAATTTATTGTTTTGTTTCACATAAAGTTATTACATGTTGATCAAAAGACATGATTTGTATTTAAATTGATTATAAATTATTTTTATAGTTTGTGAAAATTTTAATGTTCGGGTTTTTTTTGCCTGTTTAATTTGATTAACAAAAATTGAATGACAAAAGAAGAGCAGATTTTTTTTGCTGTATCGCTTTAAGATAATAATAAAAAATCCGATTTGGGTTTGAGATATTTCAGACATTGAACCAATTAATTATTATTTGAAAGCGAATTATAGTAAAAATGACAGCGACAAACGGGATGAAAGGATTTAGATTCGGTATAATATAACAAATTAAACATGGTCTTTCGGGCAAGCTGCAAGTTTACAGACTGGTTGGTCAGACCTCTGAAGGTATAGGTCCCTCAGCTGCGCTTCGGGCCATATACCTTCCTCAGTCTGACCAATCAGTTCGTAAACTTGCATATTGCCCTCAAGGCCATTTTTATTTGTTAATTAATAAAAACGATATTATACTTGTGTAATAACACTTTGACGTGACGTCATTTGCGTTATATATCATGTTGTATATAGAGGATATTGAGTAAGTTCAATACTGAATATATTGCACGAGTTGAATAAAATTATATTATGCGAGCCTCTGGCGAGCATAATATTATTTTATTCAACGAGTTCAATAAATTCAGTAATGAATTTACACGAGTTTAATATTCTATTTATCACACACCCAAAATAAAAGACCGTTTAAAGTGAAAAAAGAGTAATTTTTCACTGACGCGCCTATAGTATATAGCTAACTTTTAGCGCGTCTTTACACTATGTTTGTATAACGCTAATGACGTCACGTCAAAATATATGCTCGGCTGTGCAATAGCATTTTTACAGAGTCGCAAAATCGGCAAGGGACTGTGATTATTAAACATAGCGCTAATAGCGCTAATGTTAGCGTTACACTTTACGCACGTCAATGAAAAATAACTCGTTTTAACTATAAACCGTTCTCTGTTTGAATATGTGATAAATAGAATGTTATATCGTGTAGAATCAATACTAAATGTATTAAACTCGTTGAATAAAACAATATTATGCTCGCTAGAGGCTCGCATAATATGATTTTATTCAATTTGTTCAATAAATTTAGTATTAAACCTACACTCATTCAATATTCTCTATGTGTAATCGCTACGGTGTCTTTAGTTGGTGAACCAGTGTTCCGTGGTGTTTAAATTGCATTTACACATCCCCGGCATAGCCCAGGTGTATTCCCGGTTCAGTACCCGATACAGCACCGGATACATACGGTTAGTGCCGATGCTAACCTGGTGTATTCCTGGTTGATCCCGGTAGAGACCCGCCTAGACACGGTTTCATCACGGTCAATCCAGACCATCGCCGATTTCGCCACGGTTACGTTACGGGTGATGCCGGTACTGTCCCTTTGACGCCACTGTAATGCACCGAGGCTCCCCTGTTAAGTTTATAAGAATAAAACTGCCTGACCACATTGACAGCAGTCATTTGGTAAAAAGACAGCAGAGATTCCAGTCAAAAGAAAGGGGTAGAAAGTTGGAAAAACTGCGCCTATAACGCATACAGAGGTTGAGATACCTCAATCTGAAAATGCGTCAGCTGAAGATTTTTCCTACTCTCATTTAACAAAACATCCATGCTCGTGTTCCTTCAGTAAACATAATGATCCAAAGTACCACAAGAGTATATATAACTGTTCTTTAAATTGCCTGTTAGCGGCATGAGGTCGTGACGCCATCGTCTATCACCGTTGTATAACCGGGACTTGCAGGCAATATCCGGGACATCACCGGCTCCAACCAGAGCGTTGTCGCCAATAACCGCAATGTACATTCAACTGTTACAATTTGGCTCTGCCCGTTTTTACCGTGGCAATATCGTGTCGTGTCATCACCGGGGCTTTGCCGTGTGGACATTGATCAACACACATCCCGGTTTTTACGATTTGTCACGGTATGGGTGCGGCATAGATACGGTGGTTCCGATAATTTTCTTTTTTATTGAAGAAGTTGTTACCGGCAATAATTTCATTTTAATTAATCCCTGCATTTTGAAAGAGAGTTCAAGATAAGTAATATGATTGTGTCATAGTTTTAATTTTGTAATATAATTTGTTTTAATCTATTTATTTTGAGGAATAATTTATTTTGTTGCATAATTCATAAATCGAATGTCTACAAAATTGAAATGTTCAAAATCATATATTACAGTGTCAAACATTGCAACTGATAAACAAGCAACGATGTCAACACACTATATTGATATGACTGCGGATAAATGTATAGATGGTAATCCACGTCGTGATGCAAATTATTGTGATTGCTGCAGTCATTCTAATAATGATGCAAATCCATGGATAACTGTAGATCTTCTGGAAGTACATGAAATATTTCAAATTCATGTTGCTGGTAGAAATGATGATTATAGAAGTAACTTTTCTTTTTTTATGATAAATGGACTGTGTTCCATTGTACGAAGTCAATTAGTGGGGTGCTTTCATTTAATATCAGATTTCCTTGTTGTGTTGATCATTGTTTTCATACTATGAGAATTTGAAAAGTTACATTATTTAAATATATAAAACCGAATTGTCAAATTGCTTATCTTATGATAGACTGCCGTAAGAAATAAAACATGAATTCATGAGAGTTGCTTAGATGCGTAACAGATTTGTTTTGTTAATTTGTAGCGCCTAACGGTTTTTAAAAAATTTTAAAAAATCGCGAGACGAATGCTCCATTTAACATTGCAGAAACACATTGAAAGAATAAAAATCGTTCGTCCGTCCAATTTTTAAATGAACTTATCCTTTGTCCTTCTTAAATATTGACTTTTTTCATGCATGAAACTTTGGAGAAGATTTCATTCATATGGTTAAATAGTATCGAACATCGCTGTGATTCTTAAGCAATTTATTTAATTAATGACAAGCACTAAACATGCAATATCTTCATCGCGTAAAAATGCAAACATTATCCTTTCATAAGATTAAATTAAGAATTTCAATTGTAACCTTTGCAATTTTTTTTTAATTAATGATATTATGTTACTTATATTTTGTTCACACCTTTAACCTAAGCATTGGTTACCTCTCTTATTTTATTGCCAGGAAACAGAGATGTAACTGGGTTGGAATTATTTGCAAATGGTACTAACAACCTTATGCTCGGTAACTTTACATCAGCGAATGCTAGTGACGTAATAGTGACGTTACCACAAGGACTACACAGTCGCTATATAACACTCAGACGACCAATTCCACAGAACGTTAACGAATGGTATCTTATTGTTTGTGAAGTGGAAATATATACCAGATGTTCGTATATTTATCAGAGAAAAACATTTATAAACCATGAACTGTGTTGTGATACAACGAAAGGGCGCTGTTAAATACTTAATATCTAATAAAGTAATGAAATTTGAAATGGTAGCCTTCTCAGTATCACTCACTAACTTAAATAGTTTAACAATTGCTGTTAAAAAATCAACTAAAAAGAATAATTATAAATTTATTTTAACTTTAATAAATTTTGTTATTGTTAAACGAGCAACATAATTGTGATGTATATATAACTGTGACAATAAGCTGCTCTTGAGACATTAGACAATGATTATGATGACACGAACATTTCTAAAATTAATGTTCATTCATTTAAGATATTATTTGAAATGAATGAAATAAACCTTTCACAGACTGCAAACCAGGAACTTACGGAAATGTATGCGAACAACAATGCGGACATTGCAGACAAGGGCCGTGCAATATCGATTCTGGACATTGTCCAAATGGAGAGTGTATGGCAGGATGGACGGGGTTAGAGTGTAAAACTGGTAAAACGAAGTACATCTTTGTACATAGATGTTTTTTTGTTTTATCTATTTTTGCTGTGTGTAACGACATTTTAACACAAATATACATCAAAATGGTTAACCACATTGAAATGTATAATACGACATGCATTAAACATTACAATAGAGCGACGACACTACTTTTAAATAGCTTAATGTTTATTTACATGGATAAATTGTTTGGAAAACTGAACTCATTGCAAGGTATTCGTTTACAGCTAAAAGACCTTACCTGTTGACAGGCGACAGTTGCGATACATTGAGTGACAGGAACGATCTTGTTATGATTCAAGTATACAATAGTCTTAAATAAAAGATAAACATTGTTTAAAAAAACAGACCTTGTTTTAAATTATTGACATTCGAAAAATCATACATAGGTTTTACAGCTTCATCTTTAGATTTCCATTTCTACCCAATGTTTTTTATTATAGAATGCGACTTGGGGTACTATGGCCTGAACTGCTCCTCCGTCTGTAGTCCTCATTGTTTTAACGACGAAACTCAATGTAATAAAATTACTGGAAACTGCATGCAAGGATGTGAAGCCGGATATATGGGTCACAACTGTTCTATGGGTATGCACTTATATTTATTCTTCCACATAATGTGTAATAGAAACAGTATCGAAACAAGCGTTATCCGATTTGTTAAAGGGGGCGTAGACCCCGTGTATAAATCGGATTGCCGAGTGTTTTGATGTTCTTTCCCTTTTGTACTATATAAAAGCATTCAAAATATGGTTGAAATTTAAATGATGAAATTGTTTTATAAAATAGAGCCCTACTTGATTGGTTAAGTCTTGCATAAATTGATCGCTTATTCTTTGTTGAACCATAGAGAACTATTTCGGTATCACCAACGCCTTGAAAACATATCAACAAATCCAAGAGAACATGTTAATCTTTTAATAAAGTACACCAGTTTGTTTTATTTAGACACAATTCTACATTAAGTATTGTACATCGGAAATCAAGCAAATTTATAGAGATTATTGAATATGTTTTTTATGTAAACTGTAAACAAATAAATCGATGTCATACACATCATTTATAGGAATATTTAATCTAAATATATATCAAACGTAGCCCATCTGTACTTTGATTGTAGATCCTTATCAAAATCAAATAAAATCTTAAGGAAACAGACTCCGTGCTTAGAAAATAATTTCATTTTTTTTTTATTTCCGATTCAAATAACATAAAGTTAATATAAAAATATAATAAATTTTACTATAGGTAACAGCTTATGATTTCATAAATAAACTTTAATGTTAATCATTTAATCAATCCATGGACAGTAGTGTTATAATGTTTTTATAGATATGTTATCTAACACATTTAAAAATATTGGTCATTTAAATGTTGTGTTTTGTAAACGTACTAGAATGTACAGCTGGTAAATTTGGTCGTGATTGTAGAAGTACGTGCACCAGCAACTGTCTACAAGGTTTTGGTCAGTGCAGCAAAATTACTGGAGAATGTCAGAGTGGCTGTGTGTCTGGATTTAAAGGGCATAACTGTTCGACTCGTATGTATATCATCGTTTCCTCTAATGTTTTCGTGAGAAGCGAACCCAACTCTTCTCCACTTTTTTGCGAATATTGAACAGTTTATTTTTAAAAAGTGTACAATATCTGTATATCTTTCTGTTTATTTTAAAACATTGTGACCAATGGCCATTAAAGTTCAAGTTGCATAATAATGTTGCATTGATTTAAATACGTTGCCGTATAATAATAATAATAATAATAATAATAATAATAATAATAATAAATAATAATAATAAATAATAATAATAATAATTAAGACTTTATTTAACCAGAGAACTCATTTGAACAACATATCAATCTTCCATGGGGCCCTCAAAAAGGAACAATATAAATTTAACAAACAAAACTATTAAAATACATACATGTAAATACATACAAGAGATTATCAATTTGTATACATCGACGTGTGATTATATCTCAAGTATAAAGTTTTAAAATGGTTCACAGATGTAGCAGACTTAATATATTCAGGAAGGCCGTTCCAAATACAAGATTCAGAATAAATAAAAGACTTCCAAGGTGCCTTTTTAGTTTTGCTGGTGGGGAAATTCCTCATGTGCCTCTCCGTGCATAATTTCTGGCACGTGCATGGGCATTCCGTAGGCTAGCTGGATAGTTTCCTCATATAAAAAAAAACCTCCCGGGTGAGATTCGAATCCATACCGATAAAGGACAAATGGTTTGAGGTCACCATTCGGACACCGATGCCCCGGAATAGACGTTAACAGAATATAAGTTTTCTTTTGTTACATTTATAGCGTGTGAGACTGGACGATTTGGTGAAAATTGTACTTCGTACTGCAGTATCCATTGTTTTAAAGGAATTGAACAATGTAACAAATCATCGGGTATATGCGAGGAAGGTTGTGATGCTGGCTATATGGGCAATAATTGTTCAACAGGTATTTTTCTCTTGATTTTTTTATCAGTAAGTTTAATATGTTTCTACAGATTGTGTGTAAAACAGATTCTTTCATTTCATCAAGTACATGAATTTTAGTTGTACTACTTTCTAATGTAAATGTTATCTTATATCATCCCACATATGAACTGTTTGATATAAATTCGCAAAATATGAGTTTATGTTTACGTTTATTGACTGTCTGTTTACGTAATCTAAAGAAATTTGCTTTTTTAATGAAACATTTTCATTTTCTTTTCCCTGTTTATGTTCCCTGTCCATTTCTTTGATTAAGTCAGTAACACGGCTTACTTTGAACATAAAACAATTATATAATGGAGTTTCACTCTTGTAAACAGTTTGTCCTGATGGTCAGTATGGTCGAAATTGTACCGGAACTTGTAGTGATCACTGTAAGAACGGTAAAGTTGCGTGCAACAAAACAACAGGATATTGTATGGACGGCTGCAATCCTGGATTCACAGGACCTAAATGTTTTCTAGGTATACAAATGATTGTTTAGATCAATAATTCTATGAGTAGACATTTCTAAACTTCTAATAATGCAAGTTTAATGATGGCCTTATTATATAAAGTAGTTTCATGCTAATCTGATATCGGTACACGGACAAACAGCAATTGTACGTAAGCTTTTCTACTTGCACAGACTGTCCACATGGCACATTTGGCGTAAACTGTAGTGGTAAATGTCATTGTTACGGTGAAACAGATTGCAACAGAAGAGACGGGAATTGTAGTACAGGCTGTGCGTTTGGATGGTCAGGATCCAATTGTAGCAATGGTATGACAATAATAATGTTATTAAAAATATATCCTACTCATAACATGAAACGATTCTGTATTTTACCGATACCGATACCTGAATTTTAAAGAAGTAATAAATTTCTCTATATCCAATCACAAAACGAATTGTTGCTCCTGTTAAACTTGTTTAGACCGCAAAAAAGACTTTGCACGAGTAAAACAATTCTTTAACCAATAATAACTACAATATAACACATATTCAGTAACTTCTTAAATATGTGGGAAATTTAGAGAGAAAAACAACAACACGAGAAAATGAATTTAACTGCACAATACGTAATCATGCATGTTTCCCCTCTGAAGTATACTTGTCACAAATTGAAAACACGTGTTCAATACAGTTGTGACTTCCCATAGATTTGTTAAAGCGGACACATCGTGAACTCGCTTTATTTTATTCGGATGTGTTTAGTTTGCACTGTATATGTTTAACTTCCTGTATTGAATCGGTGAAACTCGACAATTTCCGTTACTGATGTACATTGTCGACCTCACACGTGCAATATCGAACGTCATCGCGCACCTGTTGAATATTCCCAGCCAGACCACTTTTTGTAGAAAATCCGTAAATACGATTTCATTATAAGAAAAAGTTAAAATATCAAATTATAATGTAGCGCCAAAAATGGATGCAGTGCTTCAGGTTATTGAAAGAAAAGTTTAAAGAGTTATTGCTTCATTATTCAACTTAGGATTACATAACTGTAATAAAAATACTTTACTGCAGTTAACACTAAGTTGACTTGACTAAATTATAGATATGAGGATGTAATATGGAGACAAATAATTCATCTTTATTAATTACATGTATACGGATTGGTATTTGAATAAAATGTAAAGGGGCTGCTGGACAGCGCAAATATAAATATGACGTTGCCGTTCATGAGTAAGATTAAAAAACGTTTTGGAATCCTTCACTTAATTCTTTATTCCGGTATATACCGACCAAGGCACTTGAATGATAAATTGCTAAAATCTTGTCCATTCATCTATCGAATGCATTTTTAAAAGTCTAATTTGTCTCTTCACAACGATTTTGCAATAAAACGAGTTTTGCAATAATTCATTGCAAAACACGTTGCAATGACATAATATTGTTGCATTTTTTCACAACTAGTTTTTGCAATGAAAACGAGTTTTACAATAAATTATTCTTATATCAGATTTGATATAAAGATTACACTTTCAACATTCTAGTGTTCGTCTTTTTAGCTCACCTTAGCTAGCTCAGGGTGAGCTTTTAGGATCGTTGAATGTCCGTCGTCTATCGTCCGTCGTCCGTCCAAACTTGTTCGTTCACACTCTAGCGGTCACAGTTTTGCCTCAATCATCATCAAACATTGTCAGGATGCTTATCTAGTTGATAGCTCGGATGAGTTCGAACATGGGTAATCTCGGAGGAAAAACTAGGTCACCGGAGCTAAAAATAGAAAAATCTTGTTAACACTCTAGTGGTCACATTTTTGCAACAGTCATCATTAAACTTGGTCAGGATGCTTGTCTAGGCAATAGCTCGGATGAATTTGAACATGGGTCATCTCAGATGAAAAACCAGGTCACAGGAGCTAAAAATAGAAAAACCTTGTTAACACTCTAGTGGCTACTGTTTTGATTTAAGTATCCTGGAAATTTGGTCTGAAAGTTTGTTTTGACGATTTCGTAGGTCCAAGTTCGAATATGGGTCACCTGGATAAGAAATATATCACACTGCTCAAATATGGATAATCCTTGTTAAGCATCTAGTGGTCACATTTTTGACTCACATGTCCTGAAACTTGGTCAGAATGCTTGTCTTGTTCTAGGTAATTGTTTGGATGAGTTCGATGGGTCAGGTGAGCTATCTAGGGTGATCATGGCACTCTTGTTTTTATAAGGATTGACATGCAGTGATTCTTTCATCATAAGTTTTTATTATATTATCTAACATCAATACAATTATAAAATTATCTATTCATAAGTACAAAAAGCATAATTATTTTTTTATTAAATATCAGCACATTTACATTATCAACAAACATTTTTGCAAACATGTTGGCTGAAAGCTCTGTGATATAGATAGATAATAATTGTTACATGACAAATTTATTGCAATATTCGTTTTATTGCAACACTGGTTGTGAAAAAAATGCAACAAGATTATGCCATCGCTACGAGTTTTGCAATAATATTGTGATCACTTTCTCAAGAGTACTTGTAATTTTCGACATTGTTACAATAACAAATATATATAGCACAGGGTTTGAGTCAAAGTGCTTGCAAAACTACAATTATTGATGATAATGAAAATGTGCTGATATTTGATTAAAACCTTTAACTATCATATATTTGGCATAATAAATAGATGGTTGATGCTAAATCATTTTTACAAATTAAATGACTAAGCTATAAAATAACTAAATAACTCATATAAAAAGATAAAGATAATAATATATAGAGTAAAATCTTTATAAGGATCAAATATGACATTAGAATAATTTATTGCAAGACTCGACTTTATCGCAAATCTGGTTGTGAAAAAAACAACAACAATATCGTGTCATCGCAATGAGTTTTGCAATAATATTGTACATACTGTCTCAAAAGTACTTGTAATTTTCGAAATTGTTACAAAATCAAATATGTATATCACAAAGGTTTGAGCCAACGTGATTTCAAACTACAGTTTTTATCGATAAAGAAAATGTACCGATAGTTAATAAAAACAATTTGATTATCATTTATTTTTGCAATAATGATTTATAAATGATTTAGATTGGAAATTGATGTTAAGTACGTGTTAGTTTTGAACTAATTACAAGATAATATCTATGTACTTCATAGAGTTTTGAGCCAAATATTTTGCAAAACTACTGATGCTATTTATTAAAAAAAGAACATTGAATCATCATATATTTTGCAATAATAAATATATGCGTTTAGAATAGATATTGATGTAAAATCAGATAAACACATTTAATGAATCAACTCACTGCATGTTAAACCTTATATAAAAAGACGAACATTAGAATCTTAAGAGTATAAACTTAATTTCAAATTTGATATAAGAACAATTTATTGCAAAACGGGTTTTTCTTGCAAAACTGTTTGTGAAAAAAATGCAACCAATTATGTCATCGCAACGCAAAACTAGTTTCATTGCAAAACCGGTTGTAAAAGCATCTGCTTGAACAACGATTTGTATCTATTTTGTGATCATAATTTCTGCAAGAGTCTAGAGGTACTGCACCAACAATGACGTGAGTTAAATCAGACTTTCATCAAGCCAGAATTGAAATGGCGCACTACGGGGCGATGACATAAACATGTTGATTTTATTTAACATGCACTTGTTGAAAGTGCCTGCATATTTCGTGTAAATGTTTCACTTAAATAAATTAAAGATCATTATTTATTATCATGAAATTTATTTTTCATTTATATGTGACGTAACCTAGATATATTTTGTGTCTACAAATATCTAGTAGTACGGTAGTAGTTGATTCGTTTCTTTAAACTGTCGATGGTAACTTTTAAAAAAAAAGAACAGCACATAAGTAAATGGCACATACATTCTGTACCCACTCATAACCGGTGGTCTATTTTACAGGGAATAATAACATCTCCTGTGTCAATTGCCATCTTAAGTGCATAGTGCTATATGCATCGCTGAATTTGTGTTATCAAAACTTTGAAAACAGATATTAATTTTTGTTCATTGTTGTAGGATAATGCACGGTTTGAGTTCAGATGTTCAGGAATATAATTTACGTAGACCGATTAACCGTACATTATTCAAAAAATGCACGAAATAATAATATATAGTTTCATTCTAACATGCTAATAAAAATGATATCATATGTTGAACTTTATTGAGCGTAGAAGTAATTTTCCTGGCGTCGTTTGGTTCATTGTATTATTTTTCAGATTTAAATCTTATAGAACGTATCTGGGAAAAGGTTAGCACCAGTCAGTCTAGTACATTTTCTCCGTCACAAGATTACGACTCTAGTAAAGCAATAGACGGAGTTCAGAATTATTCAGTAGATACATGTAAATGTTGCAGTGTAACAAATGGGAACTCTCCTTCATGGTGGCAAATTGATCTTGGACAGAAATATTTAATAGGTGGTTTGCAGATATTTGGAAGTGAATCAAGTAAGATGAGGGCATTCCTTTGTGAAGTTTTTCTTTTAGAATAAGGTAGTTTATTTGTGTGTTATAACGCTAAGATACATTACAATGAGGAATAATTAATGAAATATTATATGATTTTAAAGTAAATATCTTACAAAAATATTAAATCTTATCGTTCAAGATTGAAGTAATGAAATACAATTGTTCCTATATAGCTTTGTGTCATGGATATTTAATTTATTGGGCGTGTTAAATGAAACAAAACTTTGAACGTTATTTACTACAGGTAGGCATCAACAGTTAGAACATGCAAGAGTTTATGCTGGCAATTATTCAACGACAGTAAACCCGTCAGTAAATATGACAATTATTTACGAGGTTCCAGATATGACAAACAAACGACACTTTACCAAGGAACTAGAAGAACCATTAATTGCACAATTTGTTTTAGTACAGTTGACACAGCCAGTGATGACGTTGTGTGAACTTAAATTATATGAGAAAGGTAACAAATTTCAAAATAATAATCTTTTTATTGGTAAAAGAACATTGTTAGTAGAGTTGTCACAATAAGTGATGACGTTGTGTGAATTAAAATTATACGAGAAAGGTAACAAGGTTAAAAAAAATAGCTTCTTTATCTAAATCTGACTTTTCTTAAAGGTTTCTTTCCCCTCCTTATAGATCATTTTAAGACGCGGTCCGTTACTTAAAAAATCGATCGGATCATCGCCCTACATAGAAGTGTAGTAAAACTTCGTTAGTTGACGATAAAAAGTAAATTATAATAATAAATAGTTTTAAACAATAAAGCAAAGTATAACTTAATAACTATGTGGCCAAGGTTGCAATTAATAATATGAAAAAAAATGATGATGTTCAAAGAATTTTCTTAGCGACCCCGTCGGACTTGAAACTCATAGAGATAATTGTTACAAAAATAGATCTTTTCTTTTCTACTTAACAAAGTTCATATAAAAACATTAAAGAAATTATATTATACATGTATATCAAAATTAATAAAATCAATTAATGAAATCAAAGTTAATTATTATTCTGAAAAAGGTCAGAACATGCGAGAATGCATGATCATTAACATGTTTTAATATTTAGTTTGCCTGATTTATTCTTATCTGATTTGACTGTAATGCCAAGAAGTCATCTTAGACCATAAAGACGATAAAGAAATTTTAAGAAAATCGTAAGAAGTAAAGAACATTTCACAGTAGGAGAGCGCAAAAACACACATTTTTATCCAGTTGATCGTTTTGTTTTTAAATCTAGGTAAATGCATCACACACACTATTAAGTGTAAACATATTTTATTAATAATCATAAATAGCGCATAATATACATGCATTCAATATATACAATGTTGAAATGGATAAGAACGAATGATACGAAATTTTATAACTTCTTCTTCAACTCTGTTTTAAATTTACACAAAAATTATGGCATTAGTCCACCGAGACATTGTGAATGAATTCATATAAAGTGTGGAAAAAAACTTGAGGATACATAAATATATATTAAAACCTATATAGTATAGTATGCTGCTATTATAACGTTATCCCAGTACATAAAGAACTAACTTACACAGCTTAACTTAACACTTCCCGGCAAACGACTGACTGGTCACAAACATATCCTAGCACACAATTCCGTAATCACACACCTGAAATAAATATATCTCACAGCAAACAATTAAAAATACATATCCACCTTCTAGTTTTCTGGCACATAGCCCTGTGTTGTTCATTGTTTTGGTCGCAAAAATCAACGACAAAAAGAGTGGATTACCCCTATTCGCAAAATTACAAATAACAAATATATATTAATTAACGCCCAAAATAAATTCAAGAGCTATAGTGTTTCTTCCTTCTTAAACAATGCAGTATCTGAAAAAAAATCCACACGGGGGCACATGCAATAATGGTGTATTCTGCACCTTCATGAAGGTGGCCGATATTATCATATTTAAGATGTGATTTTTGTTGGGTATAAATTGCTGTCAGTTTTTATTATCAGGAGCAATGCATGCAAACCATATATTTTTTAATGTATGTCATATATCCTTGAATAATGCTATGCAATTGTTTATCTGGCGAACCGAACTTTAAGATTGCTCATTTTTAGGTCCGTTTGCAACTTTATTGCTTTTTGCCCTTCACATAATGCGCATGCGCGAAAAGGTACTCCCCTTTTGTAAAGTACTAGTATAGTATTGTAAAAATGTCTTTAATCAATATTTTGGCAAAGCGAACAGCATAAGTAATATTATAATATAAATAAATAATTCAACGAAATGTTTAAACTTTTTTTTCAGAATGTGAAATTGGAAATTTTGGAGCTGGTTGTTTGCATAAATGCCATTGTAAAGATAAACGTGCATGTAACCAGGTAACAGGTAAATGTCAGACACCAGGTTGTCTAGCAGGGTGGCAAGGAGAGGCTTGTGAAAATGGTAAATAACTAATATGTAAAATGATAGTATTATACACCTTTCCTTTAGATTTCTTTTTAAATTTGAAAATACTTCCTACAAACTATCATAAATAAACACTAGAGAAAGCCTGGTAATTATAAATACTCTTATTAATAACTTACAACATAATTTATTACCCTCTTTAACGATATATATGCGTTTCCTGATCTAATTCTTTATTTATTGAAATGCTTGTTTATTCATGCTCACGTTTCATTATAATTACGTCCATATACGAGTATTTGTAATAATTGTAAGTCCAGTTACCCAATAAATCTTTTTTCTATCAAATTAAAACAAAACAACAGTTGTAATAAATATTCTAAAAAATCATGTCTAGTTATGTTTCAATCTGAAGTACCTTCCGTATAGAATAGAATATGCCAGAAGAGTTTGATTTTACAATTTTAAGAACCATGATAATGGAACAGGAACAGGAGTTTTAAAAGATACATTTTATTATTTGAAACTACATGAAAAAATTCCTACGTATTTGCCTAATACAAGTTTTTTATGATATCAATAATTATCACTTTTTTTAATCTTTAAAGTATCATATCTTACCATTTAAAGTATATCATTCAGTAATTTTGTGCCCACGTCTCAAAATATCGGGTGATTATTTATAATAAATTGAAGTACGAGCTTGCAAATAAAGCTTTATCAACTTACTAAGAAACATTACATTGAAACCTTATTGTAGTTTGTGGTGTTCACAAGTTTGGTGATGGATGCAACAACACTTGCAACTGTAAAAATGGTACTTTATGTGATAATACTAATGGAATATGCTTTATAGGGCAATGTGATCCCGGATGGCTTCTACCAACCTGCAGCGAAGGTACGTTTCCTTAAATCATAAAATCAAAAGTTTGCTATAAACATTGTATAATGTTACAAGCAATAAAATTGGAAATTGGAATTAGTTTAACTTCCAAAAAAAAAGTAACTGTAAATGAAAACATATTTACAGATTTTTCTTTTCAAAATAATCTTATGAAAGATTTTCATCTTGTTTCAGATGTGTTTTTCATTTGAGACATTATATTTTTATTCATCGTGTATAATACAAATTGCAATGATAAAACTTTTGCTATGTCTCCCTTGTTTTACAAAATTTGATACAGGTAGACTAATTTTGGAAATGTTCGGATTATACTTTTTAATGAGAAATTTCGTTTCATCATCTATAGATTTTACATATTTCGCATATCGTTAAATCGCTCATTACAATGCAACAAATCACTTATGCCACGACAAAAGAACACTCGTTTATACAATTTAGTAGATACATTTTTTATGATTACTTTCTAAAACGTGAATGACCATTGTCAGTTGGTACCAAGTGTTTATATATCAATCTACCAATGTAGAAGTATCGATTGATCTGTTGAGCAGTGGCACCGTATTAGACTAATTAAATGCCATGAATGCTGACCAGCAAACACAATTCAGGTTGACGTGTACATAAATTGTATAATGCCTAATAAAACATATTATTATTACTCAGATGTAGGAAGTTGGCGGCTTTGCGGTCTAGAAACGTACGGTGGTGAAAAGTCGTATCGAAGTTATATCAAGTTTTCACCATCATGGTTTCGTTATTTCAATTTTTCTGCATCGTGCTTTTGACTTTTCATCATCAAACATCCGACCTTACACCATCGTTGTTTCGTTATGTTGAGTTTTTTTACCATCACATTTACGTGTTTTCGTTGTTTCGAATCATGTGCGTGTCGCGATGGTCTAATGGGGGAAAATAACCGTACAAAAATGATAAAAATAAAAATGTCTCTCAAATCTTTTTTCTGCTGACACATCATTTATCTCACAAAATATGTCTGAAGAACTTCATTTATAACCGTTTTAATTGTTTAAAATTTCAACAACAAATTTAGCCCGTTATGCCGCTATGCTGCCAGGTAATTACATACTTCATTTCCTCGATAAGGTTACCACTAAATCTTTAAACATCTTTAAACATACTCTTGTTTCATTTTTAGCTTATATCGACAGATAAATATTGATGAATTAGTGAAATTCTATTAACTATATCTAATAAATGAAGAAAAGTAGTTAAAAAACTAATACACATATTTCAAAGGTAAAAGTGTTTTTTGTGATGATCAAGAATGAGGGATAAGAAACATATTCCTTTATATTTATTTTCTGATATGTCCTTTCCCCGGAAATATGTTTGATGTTTTTCAGTCTTCTTTCAGGGTACATTTTGATATATTTTTTTATCTCTCCTGTTATTTTCTTTGCAATACGTGTTTGTTTCTATGATTTGATTTTACGTATTACAGACACAGTATATGTCATATGGCAACGTTTCAGCTTTACTGGTGGAGGAAGACCTCGTGTGCCTTTAGTACATTATTTTAGGCATGAACGGACACCACCTGACTAGAACCACCCACGTTCCGTAAGCTAGCTTGATAGCTTCCTCACATAAAATAATCTTATGATGTCGGGACTCGAACTCACAGCGGTGAGGGGTAAGTGGTTTGAAGTCAACGCACTTAACCATTTGGCCACGGCCGCCCCTTTCCTAGCAATATACATTGCATCAAATATAAACGCCTGTCCTGATCTTGATCCTTTAATCTTTGTGAAGTGGGTCTGAAGATTGAAAAACGTAAATAATTAAAAGAAAACAGTGTAACCTAATTGTGTAACAATGTTTACTATACCATTGTAATTGAGATGACTTAAACGCACTGTTTACAGATATTTTAAAACTATTAATGTTTTCATTTTATGTATATTATAATCATATACTTTGTTGTTGAATATAAATAGATATAAACATTTTGAGGCGCTTGGATGTGCAAACAGCTATGTCATCAACATTACTTAATTGGACTTCAAATCGCGCAATTGATGGAAAGATTGGTCCAATACCTGAGGTTTGCAATTGCTGCAGCGGCACAAAGAATTCCCAATTGTCTTGGTGGATGGTAGATTTAGGACAACGGTATCCTATCAGTAGCGTTACTGTGTATAGTAGAGACAACGGTTAGTATCAATCTGTTTTGTCTGCTTATATTGTAAGAAATGTGAAACTATCTGTAAATATAACGCAAAACTGTGTTTTTATTTTAAACTCAACATGTTAATTTCTGCTGAAGCCGAAACTAAGGGATAGGTGTGGTAGGGAGAGGCGAGTAGAAGGAAGCTGGTGCTTACAATTTCTGTCTATTTACAGGCTCAGTCAAACTGCACTGTTTTTATTATATTTGCCTTTTTGTGTTTTGGTTTGGGTATTTATTTCGTTATTTCAAGTAGTATGCTTTTTTATTAAATTTTTCTATATGGTTAATATTTACTAATCTGTATGTTTTAGAGAGAAAATATAAACAACTTACCAATTTCAAGCTTTATTTTTCTAATAATACTGGACAAAGTTCATATCATCTGGTTGAAAATACCACGAGGCGGATAGATGGAAATGAACATGTGCTAACTTTTTCAAATCAGCTAACAAGATATATTAAGATCCAGAGACCAGGCATCCTGACTTTGTGTGAAGTTTTGGTGACTGAAGGGGGTAAGCACTTTTATTCTCAACTCGGATTAATGTACATTTCTATTTATTGTCTCGGTATTATTTAAATTATTGCTAGCTAGTTTACGAATCGCAAATCATAGTAAAGTCAGTGTTCTTCAATAAATACAAGATGTTTAATAGATTTTAGAAGAAATTTGTTTGCTAAATGTAAAATTTGATTTATGGCAGAAAAAATGATGAGTACTTCATGTTTTACAGAATGTGAGGTAGGAACATTTGGCGAGGAATGCTCCCAAATTTGTCACTGTGCCGATGAACGTGCATGTGATAAAAGAAATGGATATTGTCAGTCAGATGCATGTAAAGTTGGTTGGATTGGTACATCGTGTAACAAAGGTAAGCTTACAAATGACACGTTGTGTTACATGCTCAAAATATGTTTAATGTTCCTAAAAATCTATTTTTTGCTACCTATACTTTATTAGATTTATATGTTTTATGTAATACACTTTAATTACTAAAACGACTTAACAGCTAAAGCTGCATGTTGTCTTTTACCTTAAAGATAGATACATGTATGATCAACAGGCCGAGATTCAAATTACCGCAGACCTTTTTGAGATTATTATATAAATTGGTACATATATATCCAGTGTAGCGTGTATTCTGATATGCTTACAGAAATTGTGACATATATTCTAATCATAGTATTGCCGCAAAGAAAACAATCTACTCTAACAGCAAAAGTAAAAAGTTACGACAAGTTATATAACATTGGAATAGGCAAATATTTACTGGAATATGTTTATTTGTCAAGCATGAAATAAATAACGGACAAATAGCTGTTACAAGTAGCAGTGATCGAATGTTACGGTAAACAAATATCACGTGATTACCTTCCCTGTACACTTCAGCATTCAATATTTCCGTATACAATCTTGAAATCTTGAAATTGGAAAAGGCATCTTTATGTTAAAATGTTTACTTTTAAATTTGTAATAAGGCGCCCTTGTTTATCATTCATTTCATATTTTATTGAAAGTGACATTATGCTCATATTTTGATACTTAAGTTGAGCTGAATTGACTTTTTATTTCAAAATATTGACTGTTAAAATGGTGTTTGACCAACAGTTTATTTTGGAAAAATTTTATCGTAAAATTTAAAATCTGCCTAAAATAGAAAAAGACTACCCCATCTTTTTATAAACTGAACGTTTCAGGTAAGTTCTAATTGAAATTTACGAAAATTTAGTTTCGATCCAGGGGTTATTTATTGTTTATGTAAAGTAGATTATTAAATTGAAATGAATTATGGCAATATAAAACTTATTTTGACTTTCACCCTTTAACTCACTGTACATACCCTTGAATGGGCATAATGTCACTTTAACTTATGCAGAAATTATTGCATAATACGTATATGTCTGTTCATAATGCATCATAAGTTGAGATTGATATTTGTGTTTACTAAGAATGTCCGAAGAACAGTTTTGGAGACAAGTGTAGTGAGAGCTGTTTTTGTGCAGATGGTACATGTACTAACGACTATGGGATATGTGAAAACGGTTGCCAAGACGGATACACTGGTTTCCATTGTAATCAAGGTGAGTTGATGTAATATCCTAGTGACTTACGTCTGCTATTTAAATCATATACCCATTTACGGTCTTTCTTTAAGTCTCAGATGTTCACCTCAACAAGGTAATTGGCTGCATCAATGTTAGCATTGTCCTTGCTGAAGTAAAATGATAAACAATTTCATGTCTGCTTTATAAACTCTGTACCTTTTTTAAGGCAGTTTTTCAAACTTTGCACAAATGGTTACTGCAAATATGCATTGTGAAGATGTGCCTACTGAAGGTCACATTTGAAGGTGAATTTAAGATAATCTCGCGACTGCTGTAAACATTTGGCTCAAATGTTAACATAAACGAGGTAGTATACAGCAAACATGTTTCCGCTGTGATGTCTCAAAGTCAATGTCATCCTTGAAAGTTAAATATCATACTGGTTTATGTCAGCTAAACATAAATGTTACTTCATGAAGGGCCTTATTGAAACTGTTCAAATGTACAGATGTATATGAATGTCGTTTTTGTGCTAACTCAATGTCAAGTAGCAGCCAGTGTAAGATCCTTTTAATATTGAGTGGAAATATAAAGAACTAATTCGTGAGTAAAATGTGCTTGATGACGTGAGTATCTGCACGAATTATGTTAAAAATGTAACACAAGTAAAGAAACTTTAAAGCATCTTTTTGATAATAATATTGTGATGTCATGATATGATGACGTCATGATTTCTAGCGCATATCGTAACGCGGTAAAAAAGTCAGTAGATAACAAATTAATGTCAGCAACTAAAATCTATGGTATATCAAATAGAAAATGTGTTTGTTTAGTATGTAACATTAAATTTTATTTATTTAATAAACACCAAGTCTTATATTTCCATTCGAGTTGCAGTCCTTGAAATATTTTTCAATATTAGATCTACTTCCAAGACAAGTACAAATGTATCCTCTATTGTTTGTTTACAGTTGATGAAATGAACAATCAAACCCACCAGGCAGAAAAGAAGAAGAATGCAACAGCTCTCGTAGCAGGTGTTGTCAGTGGATCAATTATTGTCCTGATACTAAGCGCCTTAATTGTTGCTGTTTTAATATTTAGAAAGAGAAAAAGGTTAACAAGTTTTAAACAAAACTGACATATACTTGACGTAAATTGCTTAAAACATGTGCCTGAACACATCTTTTGTAAATACAGTGCAAGTTAATTCCTGTAAGACTAGAATATTAATCAGATTCTATGTTATTTTGAAAAAATCTTTATGTTTTATTAATTTATTTCTGTCTTTGTTACAAACACCGATAAATAAAGAACGCAATGTCAGTTCTCTTTATCTACAGTCATAACGTCTTTCTTTTACTGCTATATGAATACAGTTATAGAATATGTTTAAAGGTAGAATCAATTCAAAGTATATTTATTAAAGTCATGAGATAAGTACCTTTATAAAATACTTTTCAATTATATAGAGCATGTTACACATGTTTTAATAGTATTGTGCGTTATTGTTTGTTATATTGTTTTTCTTTCTTTTTTTTTGTTCTTTGCTTGCTGAAAATATGAATACCTATCTTTTTATTACAGTGAGAACAATAAAAGTCACTACTCAACGCCAAAATCTCGAGCTGCTCAAGATGATCCAGATTATGACACTTTAGATGTACTCAATGGTAAAATTATATATATTGATATATTATGCGTATGTTTTGCATACATCGTACAAAGAGAGATGCAAGCTACTTTGATCTCATTCTTTGCTCTGTCATCGAAATTTCGAGAACGGTTTAGGTCAATTTCTAATTCAACTTATTTATATTAGACTAAGTTATGTGCAGTAAACGGTCGGTTCCGCTGATCTCACACAAGGGAAAAAGACAGACCATGTTTGTACTACAATCGTTACGTAAAACCTTTGCATTTACACTCATAATTTGGAAAAGCTTTTTTTTTGTACTCAGAATCTGCAATTTGGTACAAATGAGGACAATTCAGTCCATGTATTCCATTTATGCTTATTTTTGTATGGATAAAGAAAAATACTGATTATTTGTGTATCGTCCATATTTGTGTATCGTCTATGATATTAATTGACATATTCAAGCACAATGCTTCTAAAACGGTGCTGGTCAAACCTTTCACGTGAGAATTATTATGACGGTATAATTATTTCTTATGAAAAAGCCGAGTGAAATTGTCAAAGTTTGAAGTCATTATTGTGTAAGATTTTTGGATTTTTTTATGTCTTATATTACTATCGTCGGGCTATGTTTGTTTCGTTTGAAACATTTGTTCCAGAAAAGTATGTTTTCAATTATCATATAACATGTAATCTTTAAATCAAATTAATCATTATCGATATATCGAGTATAAAGTCGTTAAACCGACAATTGCAAATTATATCAAACGATTTATATAGAACGCAGCAAGACTGACATATGTTTCATATAAACACAATCTAGAAAAGTTGCGATCGGTTGGGAGCAATGGAAATAACAATATTATTATACCAGGTTTGATAAAATCTGTTCATGAGAGATAATGAAAATGTAGAACAAAGCCCTTTAACAACGTTTAAAATTGTATATAAACTTTAACATTAACTTGCTGTACTCGCTCCTGAAGGACCACCAAACTATATTATCATCGTAGGATACATGGGAATCAAATCATTGATTGTATATTAAATATTGACAGCAGAGTATGCTGTCTGCAAACTGCCTTGGAATTACATCCGTTGTAATTATCGTAAAGTATTAACAGAAAAGCTTTTCCACCCTATACACTAATAATACATCTGAAGGATCTCATGTAAAGTCAATGGCATATCTGCAATAACAGTTTTTTCACAATGACTTTAACCTCTTTAGAGCAAAACAACCAGAATATATGTCTCCAAAATATTGTTGCTCTGCATATTTCCACTGTATTTGCAGATTCTACTCTGAAGGTTGTATCATGTCTTTAATATATAATTATATACACGGCCTTTTTAAGCCTGCATAATACACTTAAAGATTTTTATTATGGATGTCCTGTTATAACATGTCAAAACATAAGGCTGAGCGCAATCAATCTCTCTCTCCGAATCATTGCAACTACATGTTAAGAATTCAAATATGAGTTATCAAAAACAACAACAACAACAGTTCAATTTATATAGTGTTAACACTATTCGTATTTATTTTCAGATAACCAGGGACAAAGAAGTGCAACGTATGAAAATGAAGTTGTATCTAGCATGTGATGCACTTGACTCGAAACAAAATCAACATGATAATAATTTTGTACATGGAAGTTAAGATCGTGTAAAACTGATTTTATTTTCATTAATAAAACGGATGTTATGAGATATCGTCCAATGTAATTTATCATTGCTTATAATTTTATATGATGAACAAGATTAAGAAGGGAAGGTGGTGTTCATTGAACGCAACCCCCACCCGACCCAGCAGCAAAGGACCAGTGGCTAGGCACTAGCAGGACCCCAAACAAAACAGGACTCTGCACAAGGCAAACCACGGACTGGATAATCACTTTAATAATACATAAAATAAAAGATACGGTAATAACCGACAAGGAAATTAAAGAAAACGATGTATTAATTGAATAACAAAGTTAAGGGGCACAAGGTAAGGGTCAGGGCAGGATTAAAATAACAAATAAAATAAAACGAAGTGTTATGACAACAAATAAACCAACTGTTAACATGAACCCTAATTCATTTAAATCAATTTGCAATAAGTCTTATGTTTTGTCATTATTTTCAGTTTCCAAACGGGTATAAAATTGTCTTAAAATACTTGTAGTTCAAGAGGTTTAACATGATTCACATGTCATTTAAATAATATATGTCTAAACAATATAAACAGCAATATTACAAATATCAAGGTTTGTTATATAAAAGATTCGTAACAGTTGTATATATCAAATGACTCAGGTGTGTTGTTCAGACCGTTGTGTAGGTTAGACAACATTCCTACGAAATAAATGAATGCCTTATTATATTGATTTGGCTAATATGGATTGAGTTGCAATTATATTTCGACAATGTAAATACAAGTACATTTTCATTCATAAACAATGCTACACGCGGTTATCTTATCAAATACCACGCGTCATACGTAAAAAACCCAGCAATTAAAGAGTTTAATTTGTATCTCTATGAGATTTTGAATATATTTTGAAAAATAAGGAAATATTTATATGTTGTTTTTCAATGTTGACAACCCTTGTTCATTACAAGCTTAAAACTCAAGTGTTTTGACCGTCTCAGTATCGTTCTGGGTTCTATACTGCATGTCTTGCACTTAATTGTTGTTTATGATATTATTTCGTAGTAGAAGTGCCTACTGATAATAAAAAAAAACATTTGAAATGCATATAACTTGCCCAATATTATGGAGAATGTGATGATTTTTCGTGTAACTTACGTTTAAGTTTTAACAGCATTTAATCGAGTGATATTTCTGTGTCATTTCTGTACAAAATTAATCATGTCTGTTACGTTTCTTCTTTAATTCGAACAAAACTAACGTATGTTGGATGTGCCGTAATTGTGTACTCTTTTCAAGTTTACTGTGAACGTATTTTTGCAAGTATAAATTAATCACAATTTTTAAAATAAGCAATGGTGTAGACATTCTTCGGAGTCTTAATTGTTATATCACTGTACAGTTATGTTGTTTCAGTACAATCGGTTTGTCATTCATTCAAACACATACACTAAAGGAATAAGACAATACAGACTATGAACTTACAACTGACCCGATTGTTGTTGTATTGAAGCCCTTGTGTAAAATTGTTTTTCTATACATCAGTTGCAAAATACCATTACATGTCATTTAAAATCTTGAAAATATGACAATTTCAATCATGAAAAGAAAAGATGTTTTTCACATGCATTCGAAGTGTTTAGAAAATATATGTGCTTATAAAACAGTCCCATTTACTGTAGAGGTTGTGCCAAAAACAGTGCAAGTAGGATTGTGTTACATAGCATCTATTTATTATTTGTGGAAGTGAAGTTCTGTCAATTGCTTCATTATGTTACACCATACTTAATATATGCCATTTAAACACAAATGAAATAACATTGACAGTGATAGAGATTTTTAAAAGCATCAGTTTTAAGTAAGACGAGACATTTACAGACATTTATAAAAAGTTAATTTTGTTAAGTAAAACGTGAAACAAGCATTGAAATCGTTCAAGTTTAATACATACGTGCTCGTATACAAATGTTTACAACTATATTTTGTACATTTTAAACGCTTCATAAATAACTCATACTGAGAACTGACGTATTGAAAACTGTAAAGGAAATTATCTGTATCGCATATGTGTACATCTGAAAAGTAATAATTTATCAAAACATATTAAAAGCCAATGGTGTAGAAAGTGACCCAACAATTTTTCACATAAAAGGTGTCCAAGTGAAAAAATATAGAATAAACATCAAATAATAATGTGGTACTTATTGCTGCCTTTTCATTTTTATATTTTTAAAGTGAAAAATAAGCATAAAAGGTAATTTGAAATGATAACATAAATTATGTTAAATTGTGGTCGAATAAATTACCATTCTTGCAATGCGTGGAGTAATTTTCTAAGGTAATAACGTGTGTAAAACAGAAATATTTACAAAATGCCTGTTGCTCTTTGAGATTTTATAACAATTTAACTGAGTGTACTCATTCGTCTCTAAGTAGTAAATTAAGTCTGCCACTTGAAAGATATAGTATGCAGTTGCATGAGAGAAACTATTTATAGTAATCCTCTTTGTTGATTTGTTTTTATTGATCAAAATATAAACGTTGTATGTACAGTTTGGATATATAAACATACAACTTTGTAACACATAGAGTTTATACAGCTATAAAAGTATTCAAAGTAGAAAATAGATCATATCCATAAAAGACAAAGAAAACATTTTTATATACTACACTCATTCATCTGCACTCTCGCACTATAGTCTGTGCTTTTAATATTGTAGTTGGCCATATCTAAAAATCTTTCAGTCATTTACTTATCTCTATAGTAATATTATGTGGGTTAAATATAATAATAATAATAATAATAATAATAATAATAATAATAATGAAAATAATAATAATAAATAATAATAAGAAGAAGAAAAAGAAGAAGAAGGAGAAGAAGGAAAATAAGAAAGAAAGAAAAAAGATATTGTGTTAATCTGCATTAAGGAAAATAAGATAAGAATACCATGCGGAAATAAATGTTTCAATTTATCATTACAGCCTCTTTTTCAACGTTGTAACAATATGTTATATAATGTTTAGCTCCTACAACTGAGAGAATAATCTTTTGCATTTTACATTGATAAATCTACATCTTAAAGCAAATTAAAATTAGATTTTTAGTTTTTGATAAAGGACTTTCATATGTAAAACCAATCATCTGCAGTTAATGTTGGACAAATTTTCTTTTTTGTTTTGAAATAGATATCAATGATGTCCTTAACAAAACTACATTGCCAAAACAAATGTTCGATAGCTTCGTTTTCATTTTTACAAAAGGTTCAAAGAGGATTATCATGATCTTCTTTGTTGATAGTACTTTTTTTATTTCGCGGGTATCCTGATAATATTTTATAATTATTATTTATAATAAGAGCTTTAATATGGCAGCGATTTAATGTTATCTATACACTCCCGTTGTATCTTTGCTGAACATGGTGTTATATGCGTTACATATTGTGGCTGATTTGTGCCATTCGTGTTTTTGACCCGCGACCCCGCCAAGCGAAAAGTCGAAAATTAACAATTTAAAATGGCAGTTGCGCGGAGCGAAACACGCTAATAAGCGAGGGTGCGGGGCGAAGTTTAATAAATAAAACTTCGCCCCGCGGGGCGCGGAGCGAGATTTAAGGAAAAAAACACGTTTATTAGCGGGGGCGCGCGGCGAAGTTTTATTTTTTAAACTTCGTCCCGCGACCCCGCTAATTGGCGTGTTTTCGTCCCGCGACTATAGCAAGCAAAAAGTCGATAATTAACAAGTTAAATTGGTGGGGGCGCGGATTAGCGTATTTTAGCTAAGCGCCCCATCGTTTTTATGCTTAATTTCTTTTATCACACACCCGTGCCGATTTTGCGACTCCGTAAATATGGTATTGCACGGCCGTGCATATATTTTGACGTGACGTCATTAGCGTTATACAAACATAGTGTAAAGACGCGCTAAATGTTAGCCTTATACTATAGGCGCGTCAATGAAAAATGACTTATTTCACTTTAAACGGTCTTTTTTTGGGTATGTGATAAATAGAATATTAAATTCTTGTAAGTTCATTACTGAATTTATTATACTCGTTGAATGAAATAATATTATGCTCGCCAAAGGCTCGCATAATATAATTTTATTCAACTCGTGCAATAAATTCGCCTAGAATCTAGGTATTGGACCACAAAATGTTTTAAAAAAATCTAGGCAAAAGAGAACAATCGTCGGTCACAGAATCCTTCAAAATAACCTATTGCAAATATTTGTGATACGTTTTAAAACAAGCGTACTTTTTTCAATCAGTTTATCTGTTTTGTAACTTAAATGTTAATTATTTAAATGAATAACATGCCGCACACGTTTTGCCTGTTTTGCAAAAAAATATTTTCGCAATCTCCGTTGCATATTTTAGTGATACCTCTTGTTCCCTGCCCATCATTAGATTATAGACGGGTCTCAACGGGTTTTAGAACGATCGACTATAGATAGATTTAACTCAATACAGGATTGGAGCAGTAGCCGATATTTACATTTTTCATTCATTATCATACCTAAATCGGTGTGAAAGGATGAATTAGACCTATTAAAGTTCATTCCGTTGGGTAAAAAGGCACGATTTAAGCATTTTATCATTCAAGCGCCTTGTCCGGTATATACCGGAATACGGCATTTAGTGTGGTGCTCCAATTCTTTTTTAGTCTCACTCACTATAGACTGGCTCTTTGGCACGTTATTTATTAGGTAGATAAAATTAGATAATTATAAAAAGAATATGATATTCAAACGTGACACTATCACTTCAGTAAAACGTATATTTTAATCGTTTAAAGTTCTGTGACATGTTGTACACCATAAAAGCTATTTTTAATAGAAAAAATGAAAACAATTTGATTTTGTTAAAACAAATAAAATGCACAAAATCAAGTCATATATTTTCCCCATTGCTATACGGTCTTTCGTGTTGTGTTCTATTTCTTTAATAATCCACAACTTGCTTAAAGTGACGATATATATATAAAGTGATTGATATTGACAAATTGCACATTAAGCATTTTTAGCTCGACTATTTTTTTTAAAAGTAGAGGTATTGCTATAGTCGCGGCGGCGTTGCCGTTGCCGTTCCCATTGCCGTTTGCAAACTTTCAGTACCTTTCAGTAGACCACGCTTACCTTTACCTTCATCCATAAATGACCTTGACCTTCAAGGTTAAACGTCCAAATTTTGCTTGTTCATGCTGTTATTGGCTGTAACTTTCTTATTTTTGAATGGATTGTCTTCAAACTTGAACATAATAATTTTCAAGGATATTCCTTAAAAATAATCAGACAGACCTTGACCTTCACTCATAAATGACCTTGACTTTGAAGGTCAAATTATTGAAATTTTCATTTTTTTTGGCTATTATTGGCTGTAACTTTGTTATTTTTGAATGGATTGTCTTCAAACTTGAAAATAATAATGTTCAAGAATATTCCTTAAAAATAACCAGACAGACCTTGACCTTCACTCATAAATGACCTTGACTTTGAATGTCAAATTATTGAAATTTTCATTTTTTTGGTTATTATTGGCTGTAACTTTGTTATTTTTGAATGGATTGTCTTCAAACTTGAACATAGTAATGTTCAAGGATAACCCTTAAAAATAACCAGAGAGACCTTGACCTTCACTCATTAATGACCTTGACTTTGAAGTTCAAATTATTGAAATTTAAATTGTTTTGGCTGTAACTGGCTGTTACTTTGCTATTATTGAAGGGATCAACTTAATATTATAACAGAACATACTTAAGGACAAGACCTTGTTGTATATCAAACACTTGGGCTCTTTAATGACCTTGACCTTGAAGGTTAAATTACTGAATTTTCTCAGATTTGTGCATTTAATGACCATATATATTTATTGGTGTGTGTGTGTGTGTGTGTGTGTGTGTGTATATACATATCATCATCATCATCATTAACAACAACAACAACACGTGTCACCACCACGTGTCACCACCACCACGTGACACCACCACGTGACTCCACCACGTGACACCAACACCTGACACCACCACGTGACTTCACCACGTGACTTCACCACGTGACTCCACCACGTGACACCACCATGTGACACCACCATTTGTCAACCACGTGACTCCACCACATGTATCTATTTATAGAATTTCTATTTATAGAATTGCGTGTTTCTATTTATAGAATTGCGTGTTTCTATTTATAGAATTTTCTATTTATAGAATTTTCTATTTATAGAATTGCATGTTTCTATTTAAAATATATAGACAAATCTATTGTGACAAGACAGACCGGTTAATTTTATAAAAAGGAAACGTGAAGATTTTGTTCAAACATTTCTTTGTTTGCTTTTAGAGAAATTAAAAAGTCGAGCGTTGCCCCCGCCCGGTGGTGGCTCTTGTTAATTATCTATTTTAAAGAGAAAGCAGAATAAAATGAAAAATATTTGTAATTGAAAAAACAGAACGTTGATATAAGCTTTAACATCTTTATGAGCTGTGTTAAAAATAATCTGTATGTATAACGTATATCAAGTGCTACGGATAGATTGTCATCTGTGTCGTTATTATCAGCCATTACTCACACCAGTACTGTGACGTTGAGTTGTATATCGGCTACGTACATCGATCTTTTTGTTTAGGAAATAACTGGTCGAAACACCTAGACTGCGTCGCTTGAATTTCGAAAGACCACAAATACCTCGTACTCGGTCAATATCCAAAACAAAAGTAAAGCTCCATTGTGGATCCTGTATGATCACAATATGATACCACCCTAGCCCTAACCCTGTAGTTAATACTTGCCCTTTATAATGTTGCGATCATGTTTCAAGGCCGATATACCTACTACATGTATCTTATATTGCAAAATAGTGTGTATATACATGATTCCAAAATGCAAACCTTAATAAAGACTAGTTCAGGTCTCGAGAAATCTAAAAGGGATTCCTCTGAGCATTCTTTTGACATGAATGAATTTTGAAAGACTTGTGAACCATTTTATGAAAGCATGGACTATTTACGAGTTATTTTTTTCATCCCGTTTCCCAGAATGAAAATTTTTATTGGGCAAAGTGATCGAATACTGAAAAGCGTTGCAACGTTCAAATCGGATCATATTTTCGATATTGAGTATGTTTAGTTGATATCTTTTGGGAAGTTTCTTTAGCTTTGCAAGAATTTGAACTTTTACCCTTTTAGTATTTCTGGCAGCCTCAGTGCAGTTTTTAACCCTTTCCCCCATGAGCATGTTGTGAAAAATGGCCGTTTTCACTGAAAAGCCTCCTGTTACAAGTTCAAACTGCTATGAAACTATGAAAAATGCTTCAATACTAATCAAACTTGGCACAAATGTTGTCTGGACCACTGCCTTTGTAACGACATGCTCAGTCTTAAATTTCCTGTTACCATGGCAACGAGGGGACATCTCAAAATTGCCAAAATCACTATTTTGCCTCGATTTTTTCCATCAAAATTTATTTCAAAGTGCTGCAACTTCTCAAGGGATTGAGATAGAGTCAAAGGCTTTTTAGCGTTGGTTACACGTTACAATATGATCGACCTGGGGTCATTTTTAGCCTCTCAGAAGTCCAAAATTTTCTTGGCGATGAGGGGGACTCCGCCACCCTTCAAACCCCCCTAACAGAAGGGGGCACATCCCCCCTTCTGGCAACCCCCTGATGTATCTTTTGGATGGGGGGCGGCGCCGAAAAAGTGCTAATTTTTTTAGCAACATTTCTCAAACGAAAACATGACATTTTTTCACTATTTGAGGCCTAAAAAGGGGGGGGGGTCAAAAGTGCGTTGTTTCGCGTATATATGTGGTAAAGGGTTAACAAAAATGATGAAAAACTTTGGAATCACCTTAAAACTAGTTTTTCCATGTTAACATGTGGTCTTTCACCTAACTTTGGTGAAAAATTGTTGTTTTGTAACATTTATAAACAATAAATAAATTCACATGATTAAAGGATAACGACCCATCATTACAAGTGTTTTAAATTGATTTTTCCAAAATTTACGATATTGTTTTCATATAAGAAAACATATCAAGTACTTGTCTAATAAAAAGTACTTTAACATACAGCGCATACTGATAAATAAAATCTGATACTTGATCTTTGTACCCACGAAACGTTATCATAGGAGAAGTAACATGAATGTGCTATAAGTTTGGGTTGTTTCTCACGAGCTGACTGTGTTAACTTCCTCGTCGGGCCCACATGGCGATATCGAATACAACTTTAAACAAACAACCTATCGCATTCTCCCATCTCCGCAATATGAGTCATATGACTAAGCACAGTCTCCTTTTTTCATTCTTTGAAAAAATGCGTATAACTATATTGATAAAAGCGTTTGAAAGCCAGCGCATGAATCTAGAAAGCTATTCTGCATTTGTTTATCGATTCTAAATCCAAAACATGACTGAAACTAAAATTAGAAGTATTATGAATTTCATTGTGAAATAATATGTGTATTCATTGTTACACATAACTTTGGAGTCTAACGAGTTTTGGATCCGACTTAAAAGTGCACTACATACATTGGGATCAACCGAAATCGGATTATAGGATAAATTAAAAAAAAAAGATTCATGATGTATATTTAATACAAAACACTTGCATGAAACCCTTTTGTTTGAATGGTATTTATCAAATTTGTCTTGTTTTATGTATGCGTTTTATTTATGCGGGGCCAACTACTAGGGAGATACAAATGCTCAAAATCTTTTGAAACTTCGTATTTTAATTGATGTAACAAAGCTTACAATTGGACATTTATTAACTCAAGAAAAAAAACACATTAAATAACTCTACCCAAGACAAAATGTGACCCTCAGAAATTCCTAGAATGATTTCAGTTTGACGGTAGTAAAAAGATCAGTGACATCAGAATCTTTTTTTTATTTCAAGCACACAGGTTTATAAAAAACTCAGGCACTAAACAGTATTCTCTCGAAGAAATATAACATGTATAAAGAGCATTTATCAATATAAACATCAATAAAACAACATTATCTCATATTCATTTAGTGTTATCATGTTTTGTAAGTTAATCGGAGTGTTAAACTGAATGACAGATATTTGTTTACAATGACAACTGTCCGTTTCTTAGAAAGGGCGACAACCAAGATTAGCGGCGATGTCTATACGCCGTATTTCCGGCATAGTTACATGAATGCTGCGCGCCGTTATGCAAATCAATAATTTCAATATAACAAGAGCGCATTGCTCTTTGGAAAACAGGCCAAATCGTCAATTGTTTGTTTACTGGGCCCTCCCTGTATGTATTGCACATAGGTAAAACCGGGCTATAACAAGAGCGCGTGAATATGTTAGCACATGGTTTTGTTCCCGTTATAACAAAGGCAAAAGAGGGGAAAATAGCCGGTTTTATGCTATAATGACGTTAATCAAGCAACAACAATAACGTCAAGAAGCTTTTTTTCTCTTACATAGGCGTTCTATCGCTTGGCATGAGCTTTAATTCGATGCGAAAATCTCAAAATTGATAAAAATGTCATTAAAAGCCGTTAGAGTGTGCATAATAATACATATTTGTTTATATTATCTTACGATATAAATGTCCATTATATAAAGAAGAAAATACTTTTTAACAGGTTTGATAAATTGGTATCTATAAATTTTACCTGCTGTTTGATAGCGTTATCTATATAATTATCCTGGTTGGTTTACATTAAATCTCCTTCCAAATTTAAAGAAAACTTCCCCATTCAGTTTAGCTCTATGTCTTAAAGACTGAAATAAATATCAAAGGTTAATTTGTCGTGTTATTTTAATAGTTTAAAATAATATTAGTAAATGACAATGGATATCCTTATTTTCCTTTATCTGGGCTTTATTGTGTTCAAGTCATCAGTACATTGCCAGCTTCTGAGTAAGTTATTTAAATTGTATCTATTTCTGTAGATTTATATACACTCTTTAAAAAGGGACACAGTGATTGATTAAATATTTAAAATTAAAAAATGTGTTCATACGCAATTATATAAATCACTGTCTCTTTGTTTCACATCCGTCATGCATTACCGATATTTCAAAGTTTTCCCATATATATTTACGAAAGAAAGATGCATAAGTGCTAATGTGAACGTGTGACAGATTCGGTAATTTCTATTTTATTATTTGTTTTTTTTTGTTTTTTTGTTTTTGTTTTTTGTTTTTGTTTTGTTGTATTAAGAAACTGATTTTTCATGTGTTAGTTCGTATAATTTTGATAATATAACTTATCGGGCTTACTGGAGTTCTGAGTCATGCATAATAAATAACGTATCATACATCAACATATAAATGGAATATGAGTTCAGCATTTTATTGGATGTCAATAGTATTGCCGAGAACATGCGGCTCTAGTGCGATCGGGGTTAAATCATTTGAACCATAGATGGCACGCTCCTTGACATTTAGGCTGCGTTTCGTAAACGTTGCTTTCCCTTGTAAATGTATATTTTCATATTTGAACAAAACTCTTTTTGATGATATGTTGTTTTCTCTCTCTTTTCATTGCAGTCCTATAAAGGTTAGCCAATATATAAAGGTATGAGTATTTCTAACCACTAAAAAAGTTTTAAAAATACAATTTTTCAATGTGTCATTTTTATTAGGTTCTCCGGTTGATAAGATAAATAACAATGGAAATCTCACGTAAAATAGATGTCACTGTTGAGACGCTACATTCACTGATCTTTAAAGGAGACTATCTTTAGAACAGTATAGAATTTACGAGGGGTATCTTTATTAGTGGCAACATCTCAATTTAACCATCATTTGTACGTGGAAATACAATACATGTATAATAAACCGTTGGAAAGATTGCTGATTTTTTTAACCAACAGTCTGTTTTGGTACGTGCAATGATTTTGTTTTGAATACTGGATGCAAACATGGCTGTGTTGCATTGTCATTTGAGAGAGATGCAAAAAGCTTATTGCAAAATGTGTAGGTAACGCGAAAATATGCGTCAGAAATACAAACGATTCTAGCTTTAGTTTATGGGAAAATGTCCTTTAATATCGTACAATTGCCTGATAGGTGTCAATGTTTAAGAAAGGTAAATCTTATGTTATGGATGATCCCATCGGCCAACTTCCGCTACCTCTGAAAAAAGACATCAGCACTTTCAAAGTCATTGTTGATATACCGTGGAGGAGATAAGTGACATTACGGGCCTGTGTTCGTCATATGTGTTTCCCATCTTGGAAGAAAAGTTAAAGTTGAGGAAACTGTGCGCCCGTTGGATCCAGTATTTCATAACTTCTGAGCAGAAACGGAAGCGGGTTGAAAAAGCCCCGGCCTTATTGACTAGGTTTAAAGAAAGAGATACTAAACCCTTGAGAGAAATTTGTCACAGAGGATGAAACGTGGCTTAATTTTCTCCCGCCAATAAACTCTGTAACAAAATGTTGGTAGGTGAAAACAGCGATCGCCCGGTGTTGCTCGACGTAGCAAGCAAGGAGCGTTAAAAGAGTAAGTTCTATTTCTTTGACAGTGGTGGAATAGTGGCCAAAGTCGCTGAGTCTGAGAGAGGTAGTGTCACTGGAATATTTTACCGTGACCATGTCCCACTTCTGTATTCGTCACTGAATTTCAAAAAACCAAATGTATCGGTGCGCAGGATCAAATAACTCCATGATAATGCACTTGCGCACCGGTCAGCGTTGGTTCAAGCTTATTTAAAGGACAGATAATTGAGACTTTAATACATCCCGGTTATAGTCTTGACCTTCGTCCTTGTGACTTTTGTTCAATACCTCAAATCTTGTCTTCGCGGGCGCCGGTCGGAAAACCCGAAGTGAAAAGTGCTCGGAAGTGCTCTCTACCAGTGTATAAACAGTTTTCCCAAAGAACAGTTCAAAAATGTTTTATACAGAATAAATTCTGAGTCTTGAAATATGTGTAGAGGTCCATGGTGAATATTTTGAAGGACGTTACTAGACATTTTCCAAAGGAATAGATTATTTATAAAAACGCGCTGCTATAACATTAATTAAAATATGCCCCTCGTTAATAAACGGTATTCCTGTATTTTAGCGATTTTGATTTAATCGCCACTTATTCATTTAGTCTAAATTTAAAATGTCAAGTTTTTAAATCACATGAACGTAAGCTCGCTCATAGGTTGATTTCAATTATTGTTACTCATTCAATTACATTAAAATTTTTAATGTATCTTAGGCTTAACTTGCTATTGATATTTGCTGACTTAGATTTACTACCTGTTTATTACCTAGTGCTACTATTTTACCTAAATTTTGTGTTGAATAAATGAGATTGTTGCTTGTGTTGCTTTTACTTCTGCTGATAGTGTGATGAATTTATTATAATATAGGTTCAGCTTCATTTCTGTTTTAATTCTAGAAACATTAAATTTGTTTTATCAGCCATATAAATAGAAAAACGTTAATTGTTTAGTGAACATTTCATTTAAAAATTCAGCTTACAACATTGCTCATATGACACAACTCAAAAGCTCATCTGTACTAACTTATGGGGGGTTAAACTATAGTACAACTAACGTGATTGATGGAAATCCGGCAACATCGCCAGACGCATGTAACTGCTGCTGGTCATCAAGCGATGAAACTAACCCCTGGCTGGAAGTCACTTTACCACGTCATGAGCATCTTGTCGATATTGTTCTTCAAGGCAGGACTGATCAAACTGATGGTAACTTACAGCAATATTACCTAATTACCATTATTAAGTTTAAGTTTTATCAGCTATTTTAAGCAAATGAATTTGTTCAAATAATTTATAAACAATTATTAAAATAACACATTTTGAATACTTAAACATCCCTTCAATTGCAGCCATTCAGTTAAAAATCAACTGAAAATGTGATAACCATCTTTCAGTTAACTGTTTTGATACGAAATCTTAAAATAATATATTTATTCACATGTATCACACAGACAGTCATGTGCCAACAGATATTTTTAAATAGTTCGTATAGAAATGTAGCAAACTCAATAGACGTTTTGTATAGATGTGAGATGATTTTCTTGTACTGAAACAAAGTAATGTACAAAACTATTAACGTTGCTGAAAATTATTAAAATAAAATGTAGCTATTCATGCACATGCCTAAATAATTATACACATTCATTCACACAGAACCAAGAAAGTTATCCGGGCTTAATGTACAAGCAGACGGCATTGCAATACCTGACAAGTGGATTTTTGTCAATTCTACACACAATTTTGTTTCAATAGATCTGCAGAACCAACCAGTGAAATCCATTCGAATAAATAGGCCTAAAATGCACGATAATTATGGAGCATGGTTTTTAATTGTTTGTGAAGTCCTCATCAATATACAAGGCATGTATACCTAGATTTGCATACAAAATAATAAACATAATTTTATCTTGGCTTATAATAACATCACCAATCTTTGTCACTGATAGGTAATGTGCGAATTGTATATCTTTTGGTTTATACATAATTTACTTTAGTTCGATTGTGTAGGAAGCTATAAGCTTATAGACACACTTTCGAATCTGTTTCTGGAACCAACCAGTACTGAGCAATAAGTGTAAAGTTTCTTGCTCAAGGAAACAACGACTTGCCCCTGACGAGGTTTGAACCAATGCGGCTAGCGATCACTAGATTATTAGTCCGACGCGTTAACCCCTCGGCCATGTCAGCGTGTATATCTTTTGAAAAAAGGAAGCAAGATTTTCGGATGTAAGGTTAATCACTTCAACAATGGACATTCCATTTTACGTATTATATTATATCATGTATATAAATAACATTCTGGTTATATAAAAGTACCTATCGTCTATTGTACGTTTTTTAATACAGGTCAGACATTTATTCCCTATATCAATGATTTATACTGTTCACCGATATTTGCTTTTATTCGAAACAAAATGGATTTATCTATTTATATTTTACAATATTTACCTATATCTTTTGATAGATAATATAAGTGTGATATTGACATATTACTCTTAATATTTACAATGAAAAATCACTAGATTACTAGTCCGACCCGTTAACCACTCGGCCATGCCGGCGTGTATATCTTTGGAAAAAAAGGAAGCAAGATTTTCGGATGTAAGGTTAATGACTTCAACAATGGACATTCCATGTCACGTATTACATTATATAAATAACATTCTGATTATATAAAGTTACCTATCGTCTTTTTATTTAATACAGGTCAGTATACCAATGATTTATACTATTCACCAAAATTTGTTTTTATTCAAAACAAATTGGATTTATCTATTTATATTTTAAAGCATTTACCTATATCGATAATATAAGTGTGATATTGACATATAACTATTTAAATTTACAGTTGCTGAATTATTTCAACAATTAAGGGAAATATCCAAAACAAGTCAGACAGGTTTGTTCTCAAACAATCCCGATTATGGATCTTCCAAAGCAATAGATGGGTTGAACAACTATAATATAGATGCTTGCAAATGTTGTAGCGTGACAGCGGATGCGAATCCTCCAATTTCGTGGTGGCATATTGATCTGAAAAGGAAGTACATTGCGTATGGATTGGAAATATTTGGTAGAGAAAAGATAAATGAAGGTAATAATATGTAACATAACAAATATAAAATTTATTCCATTTCTTGTATGTCCAAGATAAAATGACATTAGTACAGTTTGATGTTTTGCTGTCTTAATTTATGCTGATATGAAATATAACAACACTTAAAAAGCAGCAATAACACTTTGTTTCCTTGTCATATTTATGCCTCGATAATGCTTTCGTCATTGGTTTACATAGCAAATATCATCGCACACTTATGTTTTTAGGTACTGTTAGAAAAAAGTATTACCTTGTATATGTAATGCTTCACATCTATAGTTAAGGAACGTTTTATGTTAGACGAATTGCATTTATGCTCTTTTAATTATAGGTAATATAGAATTATAAAAGATATTTTACGATCGACTCAGTTGCTTGCCCTTCGTATTTTTTATGACTGGATATAAATATTGTAAATTTCATTAATGAAATAATGTGTCATGTATGCATAGTCATGTTATGCTTTGATACGTTATATGGTATTTTGATAATTTTAAATGATTTATTTCTGATTATATACATAAGCCATCTCTATAATGCCTAAGCTCATGTGTCAAACAAATAATGTATTAGAATACAAGAACCTACAGGTGTTGCTATTGGCATTGATATTTTCTACATTTGTTGCGCTTATGCATATTCTAAATAATGATTATTCCGCATAAACACATATACAGGAAAAACAACCCATAAATTATTATACACGATAAAACAGATGTTCATATCGACTTCTATTTTGTTTAGTTCACTTGTTTTACATAATGATGAATTACAAAGTGGCGTCAATTTATTGGCTTGTTTGTTTGGGTTTTACGTCACACCAACACAGTTGAGGTCATTTGGCGACGTTCCAGCTTTACTGGTGGAGGAATACCTCGGGTGCCCTTCCGTGCATTATTTCAGGCACGAACGGGCACCTGAGTAGAACCACCGACGTTCCGTAAGCTAGCTAGATAGTTTCCTCACATGAAAGAATCCAAAGTCCCTGTCGGGATTCGAACCAACAGCGGTGAGAGGCAAATGGTTTGAAGTCAACGACCTTAACCACTCGGCCACGGACGCCCCAAATTTTGTGGTATTTTGATAGTATTGATATTGCATTTAATATCAAAAACATAAAACTGAATCAGCTAAGTGCCTTAGTTATCATTCATTTTAAAATGTTCATATTATTATTGTTGTAGCATTTGATCAATTTACAGGTAACAATAACCAAATTCAGAATGCTAAAATCTACGCTAGTAATTCAAGTATGGAGGACAGTATTGACACAGGGTATTTGCTATTCGATGTGCCAACCATTGATGTCACTACACATTTCATCAAACATCTACAGAGGCCAGTTATAGGCCAGTATTTCATTGTCCGCATAAACAATACACTACTTGCATTGTGTGAAATAATCGTTTATGGAAAAGGTGCTGTTTGTATTAACGTCATACATATATCTATATTTTTTTAATCTTATCTTGTTTTATAAGTACACATAATTTACGTGACAGAGTGTTTGTTTTAAATAAATCATCTGTTGGTAGCAATAATGATAACCTGATTAATAACACCGGTTTGATAGATTGTCAATTGATCAACGGCCAAATCGAAATTCGCTTTATTAAACTGTAACGCATTTTTCACGAACAAATGCTTATCAAACAGTTTCGACAATTTCAGTTAAACTTAAGGCCCTGTTACATAAAATGTCAGTGCCAGATGTGCATTCATTAGCTGGAGAATGAATACGTTTTTCTAGTTTATATTTTCAAAACATTACCGTGTTTTTAAATTGAATTAAATAAATTAAAAAAGCACACTGATTGATTAATGATATCAAAATGCAATTATGATTTTTTACAATGCATTGCAAATTAAAAAGTGTTTTTTTTATTTGTGAAGCTACTCAAGCTGTCTCCAATTTTACGTTTACATGTATCTAACACAACTATAAACTAAAGTAGTTCTTATTTAAATTTAGGAAGGGAAGGGGGTACAATCAGACAGAAACGCTTCTTCTGATTAAACAAAAAATTAACAGAAAAAAGAAAACGGATTGGCTACAAATAAGGCGTTATTTTAGGATTCCTATCCCTGCGCTCAATATTAATTACAAAAAATGTATATTTATTCGCTCTTAAGAAAGAACTTTCCGTTATCTTGACGGCATTATGTCTTGTAATTATTCCTGTCTGAAACGATACAAGCTCAGCATAATTATAGCAAATATTGCTTTTCCGTATTGCGGGCAACATTAATTTAATAATATTTAATTTTTACTTTCAACGCGTTTGAGGAATTTCGTGAAATAAAGTAAAATAATTTTGCTCAATATTTTTTCGAATCAAAATATCGCTGTTTACAAGCAGCACGGCGCGGTTATATAAAATGCTTCGCATTGATACCTGCAAATACTTGTATCATATTTACAAGACAAGTTACTTTTAGTTTAACTTTATGAAATGAAATGCAGATTAATCATGCATGCATGTTAAAAGCATCATAAGCGAGGTTGTATTTTACAGGTAACTGCAACGTTGGAAGTTTTGGGCTCTCTTGTACATCTAAATGCCACTGTGAAGACAAGATGTCTTGTCACCCATGGACTGGATATTGCCAAACACCCGGATGCATGCCTGGATGGAAAGTACCATCTTGTGATAAAGGTATGAAAACAATTTAATTGAGAACTTTTTGTACTTTTATTGCGTCAGTTTACTATGATAGATCTTATGTGGCAAATGGGCAATTGACGCATACAGTCATTTCAAGTCTTTTTTACTTTCGCACACGGAAAATTTAAAAGAAGAGTATTATTACGCCATTACAATAAAGGTACGTGTAATGAAAATGTAATGAAAAGATCTAATTACTCAGACAACATACCATTTCAAGATCGGTGTTACTTTACACACACAAACACGCGCGCGCACGTATGTATGCAAACCCACACATAACAAAAATAACAATTTAAATTTCTTAAATTAAAAACACAAATGTTTGTTTATACACAAGACTAACTGGTGTAGAACACGTAGTAGCTATAAAATAATGTCTCGATAAAAATGATACTTTTGATGTCAACTCATACGAGGGTTGTTCAAAAAGTAATAGGACTAAGAGTCTTATGTCTCCATATTCCATTAGATTTTAAATATTTTCATATCCACGGCAATAGTTAATTGTTTTGCATACAATGTATCTTAAACGAATCTTCTACTTGCCCCTCACCGTTGTGGGTTCGAATGCCGAAAGAAACTTTGGATTATTTCATGTGAGGAAGCTATTCAGCTTGCTTACGGAATGTGGTTCTACTCAGGTGCCCGTTCGTGCCCGACATAGTGCTAGGACTATGCGACGTAAAACCCAATCAAACAAACATTAAACAAATATTTTAAAACAATGAATAAAATTTAAACACAATGTCAATATGCGAACAAATATTTATTTTAGAAGACAACACGCTCAACGAAAGATGATCTCGTGACCGAAATAATAAAATGTTCTCAAATGATGGCTGCAGGATTGCTAGAAATAAAATTGTCCGACCATTGTATTTTCTTAATACTCAGTTCAATATAGTAATTTAAAACAGCGATAACCATTTTCACATTAACTTATCATTCTTTAAATTGGCGTTAATAGAATGAGAAGAGAGAGCAATGTGCACAGGCGTAATCAAATCGAGCCTGCAACATTTTCAATTTTGTCGTTTTGGATTTTCTTTAGGGATCATTGTCATTTCCTCTATTATATAGATAATGAACAACATAGAAACTGAAGACAATTTTGTAAGGAAGGGATGAACGCATTTGATAAGTATAATTATACAAAAAAACATCTGGAATAATGTACAATAGAACTTAATCTAAATAGAACATGACCTGTGCGTAGGAATGATTTGGTAAGGTATCTGTAATGAGAGCAATGTTTGGCGCGGAGCTTCTCTATGGCTGCATTGCAGCAACATTTGTACAATCAAGTTGAATAATTGTATAATAGCTATGTGTGTGTTAAAAGTCGATGGCGTTTATGGGATATCGTTTTCAGATAGAGCACTTTTATATCAAAAGAAAATCTGAAATTTTACATCAGTTTTGCTTTTAACAAAAACTTGTAAAAACGCAAAATAACGCAAAATAATAATTATGTTGATGTTTTAGCGAGAAATGTTTACATGATATACAGTGTTTCAAAGGTTAACACAATTATGTAGGGATATTCCTACGTTATCAGTGAAAAGGGCGGCGGACACTAATGATTGCGTTAAGAAAAAAATAATCATGTTTTTTTCATAGGATAACATGTTTTTTTTATAGGATATTATGTTTATTGTAATTTGCGTATCGAAATCTATTAAAAACAGAACAAAACATACCTATTATTGACCTTAGACCTTTGAGAACCAAATAAAATGTACCAAATGTAAAGAAAGAAAACATAAAGACAAACAAAACGTCCGGTAATGGTCATATCCGCAGAAAGCTCTGTAAATATCAAGTATCAATTGAAATGAAATGCCTACTGTTGACGCCCTTGAAATCGGTTGTTATCTGCATCATAAAACAAATATTTTATCTTATTCAATGTTATTATTTCTTAATTTCTTACGCTGTTTTCGTTACCAAGGCAACAAGCTGGAAACCTAACATTATTCGAATCAGTATAAACATTTACAGATAGTTCCAACAGGACCTTCTTTCATCGACCTACTGCGCATATTTTTCCGGTCCGATTCATCATGTGTTTAGTGTCTCTAACAGAAACGCGTCATGTGCATTTGATAAACTCGCTTGTGTGTGCTATTTAAAGATTCAAATGTTATTAACGTGTACACCTTCTGTTCGAATGTCAGCTTTATAAATTGTTTAAATAAATTGTTTTTTTTATGTTAGCATCGTAATTGTCGATATATGTTTTTGTAAGAAGTTTTTAATTAATGAATGAAGTTCCGTAATCATAACATTTTAAGATGCAATTACAACCAACTTTAACATTGTGAACCGTTTAGGTTATGATCAGGTAATGTTCCATAAAATAGAACATAAAGAAAACGTGTTTTGTAATGAATAAAATGAAATAATCCAAAGTAAACGAGAGCAAATTCGATATAAAATATTTAAGACTTAACTTTTATACCAACCATTTTATCTTAGCTGCTGTGGTGTCATCATGATTCTGTTGTTAAATCACGAATCAGTTGATACTTCTAAGCACTGGGTACGGATTTGGGACACATAAGCGGAATAAAGTTTTAATTTCTATGTCCATTTACAATTGCATATATTAACTTTTGAAATTAACCTATACTTTGGTGATATTTATTGTAAGTAAATTATCCTCACATGATTACATTGCGCCTCCGAAATGAATCAATTTTCTTCTTAAGAAAAGGGTAAATATGAGTTTTTAACGCGTAAATTATGAATTAAGAGCATAGTTCAAGATATCACGATGACGAAAAGTAGAAAGTACGATGGAGGAAAGTCGAAACCACAATGATGAAAATGAACAAATATCAAAGTAACGAAACCAGGATGGTGAAAAGTCGAAAATAGAATGGTGAAAAATTGATCATACGATGATGAAACGTCGAAAGTGTCATTGCAAAAACACGACCTTCGTTGTTTGGTGATGTCGGCTTTTGACAATCATACTTCGAAATTTTCATTACCAAAACTTTGGTATATTCACCATTGTGGTCTCGTTACTTCGACTATTTCGTGTTTTCATTTTTACGAGATATGTGATTGTCTCGATGACTCTAACGGAACATCATATAAAATACTGTGGCTAACTAATTTTGAGTGAAGTGATTTATACACATTTTGAATGTTTCAAACTGGTAAAACAAGTAAGTTCAAAGAGGATATTGAATGTGTGTACATTTACCACTAATTTTATTGAACGTGTTGATTAAATGCATATGGTGCGAGCCTCTGGCGAGCATACTATTGTTTTATTCAACGAGTCCAATAGATTTAGTATTGACGCTACACGAATATAATATTCTATTAATCACATAATAAAATAGAGAACGGTTAACAATTAAAAAGAGTCATTTTTCATTCAATCACTCACCTATAGTGTAACGCTAACATTGGCGAGTTTAAACGCTATGTTTGTATATAACAAAAATGACGTCAAGTTGTATTACACTAGTCTAGATGTAATATCGTTCTTATTTAATGGCTTTATTACACTCCTACGTCGTAGTACATGTAATAAACAAAATTCACACTTAACAACACAACCCCCAATATTGTTCGTTTAAGCAATGGATTTTATAGTTTATTTAACAATAATTATACAACCCAATAGCAGGATTTTTTAAAGCGATACAATATGCCGCCATGTGTCCCACAAAAAAGGATAGGCTGCGTTCTTTAGGGTCTGTATGACGCTAACGTCCTGCGCAATATTATGCCTATTGTGTGCTCAAGATTGAATATGTTTTTACATTAAGTTTTATCACCAATCAGCAGTTGTCAGATAATTTTGGTGTGACCTCTTCCTTTCAAGAGTTTGCTGTTTTGTTTTAGTAAATTTATTCATTTGAGTACGCCATTAAAAATAACCAGTATGGGAAAAAAGGGGAAAAATAATGATTATATAACTTCAGCTGTCTATCAAACATAAAAGATTTTAGAACATATGAAGTATTTAAGCCAAACCATCCATTATGTGTTGTCGATTAATTTGTTCGGACAGTGTACTTTTCCGCCCAAAACGTTTCGTTGATGTTTCTTTGAATCCGTTTCAATAGATATGTAAATCTAAATAGAATGACATACACAAATTATTGTTGATATAAATGTTTTTTGACAAATAATAGAATGTACAGCTGGGAAATTCGGTCGTGATTGTAGCCGAACGTGCTCCAACAACTGTCTTCATGGTGTTGATCAGTGCAGCAAAATATCTGGAAAATGTCAGAGTGGCTGTGTGGCTGGATTTAAAGGGCATAACTGTTCGACTCGTAAGTATATATGCATAGGGTGCATATTCTACTTTATAAGTACATGTATATAACGCAATGGTTATGATTGTCGCTTCATATCTGTAATAACTACCTGTGGGACGTTCATTAGTTATTTAGCGATTGAACAGATTTAACATAGACACACCAGTTTTGTCTGTATAAAACTGAAACGTTTAATACCCCGGTCACATATTCACGGAATACGCCCACGGAAGAGCCACGGATTAATTCCGGCATCGTCCGTAGCTACCCGTACTGGTCAGTAGCTCTCCGTATTGTAACCGTAATCAATCGTAGTAGTCCTTGTATATCCGTAGCGATCCTTGACAATTTTTGAACATGCACAAAAATTTGCTACGGAAAAATCAACGTAGCGTATCCCTATTAGTCCGTATTAATCCGTACTGATACGTACTGGTCCGTACGAAAACCGTAAAAGTCCGTACTGATTCGTAGTCCACCAACTTGTCAAGGATTACCACGGTTTGGTACGAAGAACTACGTATTTTCACGGTTTCCCTACGTATAAGCTACGGTTTTAATACGGATTAATACGGCATAGTCACGGAAAGCCACGATCGTAATACGTTGTACTACGGAGAGGCAAGGATTAGCACGGTCTTACACGGTTTATTGCGTTGCAACACGAAACGGTACGGAACGGTACGGCCCACCACTGTTTAGTACGGATGAATTAAGTATCATGTACTTTTTCAAGGGTATAAATACTACCTTCTTGTTAAAGACAGACATATATATTTGCAGGAATATTTAATAAATGATAATTGCCATTTACTGACTGCAACTTTATATTGAAATGGCTCAGAATGCGGAGGCAGTGGTCGAGCTGCTTGATGACATTAATAGAAGTAAATTTATATTAATATCGTACTACAATTCATAAGAAATAGAATAACATTTAATGTTACATATTTTACAAATATTGGATCGTGAAAATGGAGTAAATATGTACATAAAACGAAGTGTCTTATAAGCCTCGGACGCTGGCCCTTGAGTGATAATAAGATTAATTAACAAGCTTTTCACATATTTTTAAAACATAAACATCACGACAATTAATGTAATTGTAAGATGAACAGCAAATCTCAAAATTAAAAGAGAAGCAGTATTGATCAACATTTTTCATTAATGATTACTAGTCCATATCTAATCAGGTACGATAAAACAGACGAGATGGTGGACTAGAGATGGGCTTTTACGAAGTCCGCTTCATGTTAAGTATGAGGCTCTCATGGCCGAACTTGTTAAGGATTTGACAGCGTCCTTCAAGAAATTCACTTTAATTGGACCTGGTGTGTCTCGGGGTTCGGACGCGATTAGGTTGAATCCTCTCCGCCAAAATCATTAAACGCTGCAATTCGTTTTCAAGGTGTTCTTTTCTTTTGAAGCATTTTGAAAATGAGCAAGCAAGAGGTTGTGGACGGATGTTTTAATGTATCAATACGTTCTTCTCCGTATCAGACCGTACTTATTCGTACTAATCCGTGCTTATACCGTAGCAGACCGTAGTGTATCCGTAGTGCGTCCGTCCTGATTCGTGTCGCTCCGTATCAAACCGTGTCGGTCCGTAACAATCCGTGTCTCTCCGGGGGCTTTTGGTGGTAAATCGGTCGGACTCCGTACTCATACCGTTGTGTGTCCGTACTGTAACCGTAGCGGACTACGGAATTTCACAATTCCGTAGTAATCCGTGAACGATTAGACCGTAGCTCTTCCCGTGGCATTATCCGTGAATATGTGACCGGGGCATAAGACGTTTTAAATACTTCTATCATATATTCTAATTATAAGTATACATTTTACAAATTCTTGTAATATTGAAGAACTATCAGGCATACATACGCTGAAAAGTTAAAAGTACTTTTCATTAGACGTTTTGATATAGATTAATCCATTTTAACGAAGACTTTTACATGTTGCCATTCAGTTTTTCCCAGTCACATGTTATATTTAATTAATTCCGATCAATGGCTGGTAGAAACACAATATTTGTAAACAAAGAAAACAATTGATTACATGGCACCGAGTCTGTAAGCATAGAAAATGAATCATGAAACATGTCGTTGCGAGATGGAAGATTCAATAGACGACCCGACAATGAACAATCTATAAGCATAAAGTTATATGTAAGTACAAAACCGGTTGATGAGCGTCATTACATTCAAGTGAAACAAAATCGTTAGAGAAACAATGACAGCTTATTGATTTGTTAGTTTGTATGAGTCTAAGGGCGACTTTGGCTCATTACTAGTCATACCGCGCCAAACATGAAAGGAAGTAAGCCTCGAAAGAAATAATAACATAAGTGAGTAAGGTATATCTTACAATACAAGTTTAGTTCCTTAACGTGATTAATTAATGTATTGGATTGAATTCAGCCACAGTGGTTTGATTCGGATTTTATTTAAGTCTGAAAATGTGTGGATAATCATAGTTAAAAATAGCGACCGATGGTTTCAAATGTTTTAATGAAAGAAACAGTGCACTGTACCAACGATAACCATTTTCTCTCACTGTATATTATATATCAAATTTGCTTTAATTGATAAGATTGGACTATGAAGTAGATCTGTTACATGCATATCATGGCATTGATATGTTTTATAAATACAACTAGAAATACTGCATTGCTCTAAATGAAGTCTACATTTCATAGAGGATATTTGTTTGTTTGTGTGTAAGATGAAATTTTATTTCATCGAGTGGGCTTTAAAAACAGTATTCTCACGAGTGGCGTAGCCACGAGTGAGAATACTGTTTTTAAAGTTCACGAGATGAAATAAAATTACATCTTACACAACAAACAGACAAATTTTCTTTTTATTTTCTGCTTAAAAACAAGTTAAAACGAAATTTCCATAATTTTAACGTTAATATAAAAATTTGTTTCCCCCATTGAGAGCCCCATTTAGACGGAATTTCACATTAAAAACAAGAAGTCTTGAGCTGAGAAATAAGTCCGCCAATCAAGGTTAAATGACGGTGAAATTTATTCATTTTATTAAAAAAATATGAATGATCGCTTGTTTAAATAATACAAACAAACAATTCTTGTAGGAGAAAAAGTCCAACCATCCATCCATATTTCTGTTACTTACTGCGAATTTATATTAGACCTGGCTTTGTAAAATGTAAGCGGCAGCCATTTTTTAAAGTTGTGTATTTCATGGGATGAAAATAATTGTGTAAGATTCAGAGGGATATAATTTGGATTTGTTAGTCATACACCTTTTTAAAAGAAAGAAAACTTATTTGAGGATTGTAACAGACAAAAAATAAGTGTTGACAGAAGTGAAAACATTCAGAAAAGGAGCTAGGAAAATGGAAAACTTGGAAGCTTAGCGGAACGCTGGGTTGTTTTACTTATTTTACGAGTGATGGCTGTCAATGCTTTTCAATTTTTCATAAAGCATACGGTAGTTATTGCTCATAGGATACTTTAATATGCCCAAATGTCATCAAGAGCAGTTTTGCATGGGGAAGGAATGTAATTTCAGACTGTAAAAACGAAACAAAAAAAATTAGAGACGAAATTTGGTGATTGGAATTTGAATGAATAGAAGTAAGTTTTCTCTCTTTATTACTTTTGACATTTAAGTTATTTATCTATTTCAGCTTTGCTATTTCTTTTAACAGCCTGACATTGTCAGAATTGTCAGTAAAAATAAAATTGAGGTACCACATGGGGAAAATCTTAAAAAAAGTAGTTTCGTCATTGAAAAAAGTGAAATTATATTTTGATAATTTTCACTGTGACATTATCAAATATAATTTTCACGGATAAATCAGTAATCCACTGAAAAGCATAAAATAAATGTATCTATTATCACATAAACGAGCTTAGATATTCAGAAACTAATAAAAGTATTTAAGGGTAAAAGGAAATTTACGTTAGTTGACTAGAAGTTATTTTGTTGTTGTTTTCTTAAAATTATGTTGTTTTAGTATACTTTTTTATATCTATTTCATTTTATTCATTAGTTTACTTCCTTTTTTGACATTTAAAGCATGTGAGACAGGACGATTTGGTGTAAATTGTACTTCGTACTGCAGTATCCATTGCTTTAAAGGAATTGAACAATGTAACAAATCATCGGGTATATGCAAGGCAGGTTGTGAAGCAGGCTATATGGGCAATAATTGCTCAACAGGTATTTTATGTCTTTATCATTTTGTTGTAAAGAAAACTGCAGGAAAATGAAAAATACAAAGATTAACATAAATAATACAACTGTTGATACGATCCATACCTTCATGCTTCTCTCTTTTGTTTTTCAATTCACTTTCCACCAAGCAACATATAAAAGTGTGGTGAAAATAAAAAAACAATTAATTACTTAATACACGAATATACAAGTACTTGTCATCATTTTAAGCGAGGAAATATTACCAGATAATATGTTTGCCACAATAAGTACTGTATTTAATTTGATATTGCAGTGTAGGTAATACAGATTGGTCGACTGCAACTCTCATTCTATGTTACATTTACGTACATTGACATAGGTATCACAATAAATAACTCTTTTGAATTTTATTTCCTATTTTTACATACCATATGAAGATGACTTAGTCACGTACTAAAATTAATTTTAACCCAGAACAGGTTCATGATATAGTGTCAATTGTTTTTCAACAGTTTGTCCTGATGGTCAGTATGGTAGAGATTGTACAGGAAATTGTAGTGAGAGTAAGAACGGTAAAGCTGCGTGTAACAAAGCAACAGGATATTGCATGGACGGCTGCAATCCTGGATTCACCGGACCTAAATGTTCTCGTGGTATATTAATGTTTTGTATATATTTTATGAACAAAAATTCCATTATTAAAACATGCTAAAACTTTTAAGGATGCGACCTTAATATAATGATTAAAAGTTGATCTTATTTTATAAAATAGTTTCATGTTAATGCTATATCAGTTCACGAAAAAACAAAAACAAACAAAACAACCCATAACAATTCTAACATAATCACATGATTGATTATTTCGACAGATTGCCCAAGCGGCACATTTGGCGTAAACTGTAGTGGTGTATGTCATTGTCAACATGAAACAGATTGTCGCAAATCAGACGGGAATTGCAGTAACGGCTGTGCGTTTGGATGGTCAGGATTCAATTGTAGCAATGGTATAGACTTTAAACAGTAATTATGTTAGAAAGAAATATCTATAACTTCATAAGATAAAAAAGATACGGTATTTTATTGATACCAATACCTGACATGTTGAAAGCAAAACTCTATATTTTTGTTTCAAATCAATATTATATTTACTCTAAAATAATTAGATAAGAGTTTAGCATTCAAAGTAGTTTTCACCATTTATCAAAATTGGTAAGACGGTGTTTAAACATATAGCGCAAAAAAGTCATGAAAATTTCTTCAACAGTATTGATCTTTAATATATAAGAGTTGAATGTGAAAAATTAAGAAAATGACTTGAATCACATAATAACAAATCTTGTATGTTTCCCTTCTTCCGTTAACTTTCAAAATATTACTTTTATATCATTTTATCAAATTTTCATGGCCTTTATTTCAACATATAGCGCAAAAAAGTCATGAAAATATCTTCAACAGAATTGATCTTTAATATATGAGTTGAATATGACAAATTAAGAAAATGACTTGATTCACATAAACATAAATCTTGTATGTTTCCCGTCTTCTGTTAACTTTCAAACTATTACTTTTATATCATTTTGTCAAATTTTCATAGCCTATATTTTAACCCTGCTTTGAATATGGAACAACTCATTATAATGAATTCATTATCGAAATATGAATAAGTTACCGAACGATTAGAAGCTGTGTAAGTTATGCCACGTATGGCTCTCTCCAAATATAGCTCTGAGGAGAGCTTTAACTTTCCGTTTAGGTATGAACGAATTGTTTTGTCAATAGGAGCATCGCATTAAAAATGATGGTTCTCTTCGAAGAATATAGCTCCCAATCAAATCATTATTATTTTAACATGAATAAAATTACATATTTAGCTCACCTGAGCACAAAGTGATTAAATTGAGCTTTTGTTGGTCACAATTTTTTCCGGCGCCCAGTGTCCCTCTGCGCGTCTGTGCGCCCATCCTTATATAGTTAATACTTTAAAAATTTTCTTGAAACTACAAGGGCAATATCTTGGATATCAAGCATGAAGTATTTGCTAGTAGACCTCTACAAAAAAATTCATATTAAAGCCACTGGAACAAATTGGCCTCGCCCCGGGGGAATATAGATTTCCCTTAAAAACCTCTCTTAAACTACAAGAGCTAAAGTTTAGTTTTTAGACATAAAACATAATCTTGTAAACCTCTATTAAATGTGTTCAAATTATAACCCTTGGGTCAAAATCGGCCCGCCATAGGGGTTCATGGCTTTTTCCTTAAATAGTAAATCTACTTCTTGAAACCTGAAAGGGCTATGTTTTGATATTCAGCAAAAAACCTTTACAAAAGTTGTTCAAATTATAGTCCCCAAGTCAAAATTGGCCCTGGCCCGGGTAGTAAACATTGACTCCCATAGTAATTATTGACTTTCTATAGCAACCATAAATTTCCATAACAACAAGTGACTTTCCATAGTAACCATTTACGTCCATAGCAAACTTTGACTTCCCATACCAACCTTTGACTTCCCATAGCAACTATTTACTTTCAAAAGCAACCACTTCTTTCGCAAGCAGTGACACTCCATAGCAACTATTTGATTTTCGCAGCAACCATTGTTTTCAATAGCAACCATAGACTTTCATGGCAACCAGTATTTTTAGTAGCATAACAACATGTTTCCATAGCAGCCAGCGACGTTCTATAGCAACCATTTTCTGTCATAGGAAACGGTGACTTTACATAGCAATCAGAGACTTCGATTTTAACAATTGACTCCCAAAAGAAACTAGTTCCTCCTATTGCAACCATTGACTACATTTCAACCATAAAATTCCTAAGCAACACATGGTTTTCAAAAGCAACCAACTATGCAAGAAATGGTTTTTAAAAGCAACCAGGAGCTTTCCATAGCTACCAATAAATTCCCATAGCAACCATTGACTTCTATAACAACCGGATACATTGTACAGCAAACACTGACTTTTGATAGCAATTAGTGACTCCCATAACTATTGACTAACATCACAACCATTGACTTTACAATAGCAACATAATACTCCCATAGTATTTTCTTCTCTTCCACAACAATTTTCTTCTATAGCAACCAGTAACTTCATAGCAGTCATTTGCCTTTTATAACAAACTAGAAATTTCCAAGCGACCAGTGACTTCCATAACAACTATTAACTTTAGAAATTAACGAGCGAATCTTCCATTAAATTTCATAGCAGCCACAGACTACCAAGGAAAAAAATGACTGTGTACAGCAACCAGTGACTTCTTTAGAAACTGTTGTATTTCCTGAAAAATAACGACCACATGTGCACTATTTCAGATACAAATATGAACTTTGTGATATCAGTTAAATATTTAGATTTTATATCTTCTTATTCATTAGTAGTTTACAATATTACTTGTTCCTTGTCATTGATGGTATTCATATAAAGGTGAGCGATACTAGAGCCATCATGGCCCTCTTGTCCATGAAAGTTATCACCTTTATGACCATCATATTCATCACCATTTGTCATCATTTCCATCAACATCATCATCAGAATTTCATTATTGGTATTTGCATCATCATCATTATCAAAATCATGAATTATTACCAACATCCTTAACATCGTCACCTTAATCATTATTATTTTTATATCATAATCGCATCCATTATCATCAAAGTTTCCCTCAGCTTTATTATCACCAACATCGTCTTCCACTATCATTATAATCAGAATCATATCTTTCTCGCCTCCAAATCATTATTCAAAATCATTATCACATCCATCGTGAAACAATAATCTACTCAACCATCATCCCGTTCAAATGAAATTATCCCTCTACCTATCTATCTTCCACCTAGTCCACTCTTGTGAACCATGTCTTTGCGCGTAAATAGTAAGGATACAGACAAAAATTTATAGTGACCAAAGGGCCGTTCACAAAGCGAGCTTTACGGTATCAGGAGAATATGACCTGCTAGATAGTGATGGTTTTTAAAACGTTCGACGGAAGTACTGCAAAATTATGGGTTATTTACCAATTGCAACTTTTCGAATTACAAGATAACGATAAAATCCGAGGAATTCTGATTAAATACGGATGCGTAGGCTAAAATATATGAGAAAACTAATACTCGTTAATTTCAACAACATTTATTGCAAGCTATTTATCGGGAGCTTAAGCCGTCAAACAAGGACATCCCTTTTCGAATTAAGGCAATTGAAGTAAGTTGTCGAGGAATTCTGATCCCCGAAGAGCTATATTAATTGAGAGCTTTGTGCGGCGTAACAATCTTTGTAAGACTGCTTGAATGTGTTATATATTTGTTATTATTGTCGGTTCCAGCCTGTAATATATACATTATTTTTAAACATTTTAGAAAATTTGTTATGCTACTGTTTTATTCACGCCTTATTAACTTATCCAAATTTGTACTTTTAGCTTTATTTAGCTTTAAAGCTAAATTGGTATTTTTCTCAAATGCAAATTTGTTATTTTATACAATATATGTAGTTGTTTATCATTCATTTTCACAACTAACAACCCTGAAATTTTCTGACAGATTCAATTCATATTTCTTTTGCTAAATTGTCTTTTTACATTCAAGCAATCAGATTTTACTGTTGATAAAAATAAATAAGCTTTTTTAGAATATATAAATTAATCACACAGTATTTTAATATTCTGTGCCTGAACATGCCTTTGTTCCATTTAACAGTAAACAATGTCATCTGTTGTGTTAATGTGCATATCAAGTACAGCGTGCTAGTTGAGTCATATGCATTTGTATTATAAAATGAATAAGCGTTTTTAAATGTTCTGATGATTTCTTTTTTTCAGATTTTAATCTTATAGAACGTATCCGAGACATTGTTAGTACCAGTCAGTCTAGTACATTTTCTCCATCAAACTCAAATTAAAAAGATTTCAACTCTAGTAAAGCAATAGATGGGGTTCCAAATTATTCAATAGATACATGTAAATGCTGCAGTGTAACAAACGGAACACCTCCTTCATGGTGGCAAATTGATCTAAAACTGAAATACCTGTTAGGTGGTTTGCAGATATTTGGACGTGAATCAAGTAAGATGAGGACATTTCAAAAACTCTTATTATAAAGATGTCTGAAATTTAAAGATATATAATTAAAAAAAAAAGATAAACTTTCAAATCAGTGTATGGTTTTTCGGGGTAATTTCTTGGTTAAAAAAAAGAATTACATAAATGGAAGACAACTGCTTCTACTTGCATAAAGCTTTGTGAAAATAAGAATTAATGTAATGGACACACGCATACATACACATTTTGTTTTAAAATTCAATTAAAATTTGAAACTTATCTAACTACAGATAATAACGAACAGTTAGAAGATGCAATTGTTTATGCTGGCAATTACTCAACGACAGTAAACCCATCAATGAATATGACAAATCTTTACGTGGTTCCAAAAATGAGAAACAAACGACACTTTACCAAGGAACTAGAAGATCCAATAATTGCACGATACATTTTAGTAGAGTTGTCACAGAAAGTGATGGCGTTGTGTGAATTAAAATTATATGAGAAAGGTAACATGGTTAAAAAGCATAATTTCCTTATCTAAAAGAACATGCTTACGTCTTGACTCATAGTATATTATTTACTTTCTAGTTCCGTTCCCCTTCTTATAGATTATTTTACGACACGGTCCGTTGCTATAAAAACTCGGCCGGATCATCGGTCTACATTGAACTGTAATATAACTTTGTTAGTTGACCATAAAACGTTAATAATAATAGTAAATATTTTTTAATCAAAAAGGAAAAGAACACATTAATAGCCTTGTGGCCAAGATCTCAATAAATGATGTAAAACAGATGATTGTTTTAAAAGAATTTTCTTAGCGAACCCGTCGGGCTTGAAACTTATAAAGATAATTGTTACAGAAAATAAATATTGTTTTCTTCTTCTTGAAAGTTTATATAAAAAACTAAAAAAAAGAAGATCATATAATATATGAAATAAAAGTTAATAATCATTCTGTAAAAGGTCAGAACATGTGATAATGCATGTTCGTAAACATGTTTTAGTATTCAGCTTGCCTGATTTATTCTTATCTGATTTGACTGTGATGCCAATCAAAGGTCAGAACATGTGATAATGCATGTTCGTTAACATGTTTTAGTATTCAGTTTGCCTGATTTATTCTTATCTGATTTGACTGTGATGCCAATCAGTCATACAAACGATAAATAAATTTTACAACATCGTGAGAGGTAAAGAACATTTCACAGCAGGGTTATGCCATAACACACATTTTAATCCAGTTTATCGTTACACATTTTAAAATTTAGGTAAATGCATACCACAATATTTAGTTTAAACTTATTTTATTCATAATTATAAACAGTGCATAATATACATGCATTCAATGTATACAATGTTAAAATGGATTAGAACAAAATATATAAACTCTCTTAAATTTCTTCTCCGGCTCAGTTTGAAATTTTTAACAAAGTGATGGCATCAGTCCACTGAGACATTGTGTATCAATTCATATAATATGTGGAAAAAACTTGAGGATACCTATACATATTTAAACCTATATTAATAATAGTAAGATATGTTGTAATTATAACGTTATTTCAGCACATTAACGACTAGCTTTCGGACTTACTTGAACGCCGCCTTTTCTTGTTGATCTTGTTTATCTTAAATGTATTTGGAGAATAAAAATTAAATGTGTATAAACGACTGCGGTACTGAATAAATGATGTTTCTATAAATCATTTTCAAACCTCTTACTTAGTTTGATATTTATGGACTGAAGAAAATATGATAGTATTTGCTTCAATTGTTTTGTATTCCGTTCTTAAGGAGCTGCTTTCTAACGAGGGAGCTATAATATTTAAAATTGTATTTGACAAAATGTCTTATGTTATCAAATTTTTGACATTCAAGAAATAGTGAGTTAATTTTACGACAATGACAAAAAGGGGTTTGGGCAATATTCTTTTGAAACAAAAATGTTGATTGAGAGAGCTACAATTTCTTCGGAGTCGCGTGTGTATAGTATTTGATATTATGTCCTGTCGCCGTAATAAAATAAAGAATAATATTTGCAACGTCCCTGATATAAGAAAGACTTAAAGCTGGTTAATGGGTCTGTATATCATATATTGAGTGGTAATTTATTCTATATTAAATGCATTTAGCGTAAAGGGATATTTTGGTAGGTATATCTTGACACTTCAGAAAATCACAGAGCTTTATCTATATCGTATTCTGTAATATAAATCTCTTACAAAAACAAATCCTAACAACATTGATATGAAAGGTATATGTAAAAGTTAATAAATTAATAATTACGGTTATCATAATAGTACGTTATTACGAATGCCATGGGATCATGGTTAAACGCCTCGATATAATGATATCATATTGAAAGCTAGCTGGCAAAAAAAACAACTGACTGTTTCCGTATGTTGGACACTAACCACTTAGTCAATAGAAATATATAATATAAATTGTGTAGTATTTCGTTTTACACCGGTTATACAAGTTTTTATTTTATGCTTTTCAGTGGATTACTGATTTATCCGTGAAAATAACATTTGATAATTTCACAGTAAAAATTATCAAAATATAATTTCACACTTTTCAATGATGAAACTACTTTTTTAAGATTTTCCCCATGTGGTACCTCAATTTTATTTTTGCTGACAATTCTGACAATGTCAGGCTGTTTAAAGAAAAAGCAAAGCTGAAATTGATAAATAACTTAAAAGTCAAAAGTAATAAGAAGAAAAAACTTACTTCTATTCATTTAAATTCCAATCACCAAATTTCGTCTTTAATTTTTTTTGTTTCATTTTTTACAGTCTGAAAAATACAATCCTTCGACATGCAAAACTGCTCTTGATGACATTTGGGCATATTAAAGTATCCTACGAACAATAACTGTCGTATGCTTCATGAAAAATTGGAAAGCAATGGCAGCCATCTGCTCGTAGAATAAGTAAACTACCCAGCGTTCCTGAGCCAGCTTCCAAGTTTTCCATTTTCCTATCTGCATTTTTGAATGTTTTCACATCTGTCAACACTTATTTTTTGTCTGTTACAATCCTCAAATAAGTTTTCTTTCTTTTAAAAAGGTGTATGACTAACAAATTCAAATGATATTCCTCTGAATGAAACACAACTATTTTCCTCCAATGAAATACACAACTTTTTTCTCCTACAAGAATTGTTTGTTTTTATTATTAAAACAAGCGAACATTCATATTTTTTTAATAAAATGAATAACATCCCCGTCATTTAACGTTGATTGCCGAACTTATTTTTCAGCTCAAGACTTCTTGTATTTAATGAGAAATTTCGACTAAATGGGGCTCTCAATGGGGAAAACAGATTTTAATATTAACGTTAATATTAAAATATCCTCTATATCTAAAGCACCATTTTGTTTCAATTTATATAACTGATGAAAAATGATACCTTAAACACAGGACTTTTGTATGCGCATTTGGATAATTTAAGTAGTAAGTCCCGCATATTTTCTTAATTCATTATAGTTATGAAATAACATTTTACAAATTTTCCGCTCTAAGTCATGCCATATTAATGATTTCCACTTGAAATAACTTGAACTCACATTCATTAAAGTCATTAAGTATAAGAACAAAAAGAGAATATAACCATATGATTTGCATTCACGATATCTAATCTAGGAGATCAGTGCTTTAGTATTAAATAAACTAGCATTTTTACAGTCTTGACGAGAATCTTAAAAGAAGATATGTTCGAGTGAAATATTTCAGCACATTTGAATGCAAGAGGGGGTTAAATTCCTACGCTTGAATACGAAGGTTATTTTGTCAGTATCTAATCATTATTTCAAGTATAATAGATACGTATTTGTCACCATTTTGTCACCCATTGTATCTTTCTTTATCACTTTTAAAAAGTATGGTAATATTTTTTTAGTCCAAATTGCTTGTAAAAGATTTAAAATACTGATGACTCTTTTTAGTTAGGGCGGGGGAATTTTAAAATTGGGCCCCCAAAGGGTCAAATTTATAAAAACAAGAATAGTGTTTGAAGGTACTGAAACTTTGTATTTCTCTGTCTTGTAATTTTTTATGTTTTTTATTAGGAAAAGAGCAGTACCCTTTTTTGTTTACACGAAAATAAAAATTTCGGGTTTTTTTGTTTGTGCGATTGTATTTGTAAGCTCCAAATGGGGATTCAAAAAAAGAAAACAAGGGGGGCAGTTTTAGCGAAACAAATAAAAAAACTGGGTAAAAATTTTTGAAAAAATTAAAATTTTGATTAAAATTTTAAAAAGGGGCTATTTGAAAAAGCCCTCGATGGTCTGTTGATATTTTGAAAAGGGAAACTGCTTGAATGCTGTCATGAAGGTTGTCAATATTATTATATTTAAGATGTGATTTTTTTTGGATGGGTAAATATAAGTTGCTGTCAGTTTTTATAATTAGGAGCAATGCATGCAAACTATAAATCTTTAATGTATGACATACATTCTTGAATAATGCTGTGCAACTGGTTACCTGCTTTTGAATATTTAGAATCGTTTTTCTGGCCAACCGAACTTCATGATTGCTCATTTTTAGGTCCCTTTGCCCTTTATTGCTTGTTTGCCCCTCATAGAATGCGCATGCGCGTAATGGTACTTCATTTTTAAGTATGGTATTGTTAAAAGGTATATAATCAATATTTTTGCACAATGAACAGCATAAAGAATATATTGATAAATAAATTATTCAACGAAATGTTTAAACTTTTTCAGAATGTGAAATTGGACATTTTGGAACTGGCTGTATACATAAATGTAATTGTAAAGACAATCATGCATGTAACCAAGTAACAGGTAAATGTCAGACACCAGGTTGTTTAGCAGGGTGGCAAGGAGAGGCGTGTGAAAATGGTAAATAACAAATAAGTAAAATGATCATAGTACTGATTGTACAACTTAGGTTTAAGCCACATTTTCTTAACAGATCTTTTGTAGAATTGAAGATGCTTTTTTAAAACTATCATAAATAAATATAAGAGACAACCTGGTAATTACAAATACCCTAATTAATAACATACAACACAATTCATTACCCTCTTTCAAGATATATATGCGTTTCCTCATCTAATTCTTTATTTATTGAAATGCTTGTTTATTCATGCTCACGTTTCATTATAATTTCGTCCAAATATTTGTAATAATTCTAAGTCCAGTTGTCGAATAACCTGTCTTTTTTCCTATCAATTTAAAACAAAACAACATTTGGAATAAATATGCTAAAAATTCATGTCTAGTTATGTTTCTATCTGAATTACCTTCCGTATAGAATAGGATATGCCAGAAGAGTTTGATTTTACAATTTTAAGAAACATGATAAAGCAACAGGAACAGGAGTTTTAAAATATACATTTTATTATATGAAACTTCACGAAAGAATTCCTATGCATTTGCTTAATACAAGTTTTTTTATGATATCAATAATAATCATTTTTTTAATCTTTAAAGTGTCATATCTAACCATTTAAAGTATATCATTCATTGAGTACTTTTGTGCCCACGTCTCAAAATTTCGGGTGATTATTTATAATTAATTGAAGTTCGAGCTTGCAAGTAAAGCTTTATCAACTTACTTAGAAACATTACAATGAAACTTTATTGTAGTTTGTGATGTCCACAAGTTTGGTGATGGATGCAGCAACACTTGCAACTGTAAAGATGGTACTTTATGTGATAATACTAATGGAATATGCTTTATTGGGCAATGTGATCCCGGATGGATTCTACCAACCTGCAGCGAAGGTACGTTTCCTTTAATCATAAAATCAAAAGTGTCATTTAATTCTATTGAAATGCGTATATCATTTGCTATAAACATTGTATAATGTCTCAGTGAAAGAATTGGAAATTAGAATTGTTTTATCGTTTAAAGAAAAAAAGTAACTGTATATGAAAACAGACTTACAGATTTATCTTTTCAAAATAATCTTACGATTTTCTTTTGTATTTGAATATATATTTGCACTAAAATGAAATGTACATCATTGTTTATTTGACTAAAATCATGGACCATTCGGATATAACTGTTCATCTGTCTTCAAATGTGTTTTTCATTCGAGACATTATATTGCTATTTATCGTGTATAATACAAATTGCAATTATAAAACTTAAAAAAAATGATACAGGTAGAATTTTTTTCAAATGTTTGGATTATACTTTTTATTGAGAAATTACGTTTCATCATCCTTAGATTTGACACATTTCGCATATCATTCAATCGCTCATAACAATGTAACAAATCACTTCTTCCACGATACTAGAATATTCGTTTATACAATTTAGTAAATATATTTTCTATGATTATTTTCTAAAATAGATAAATACAGAATCCCTAAAGGAAGCCCAACACGGCAAAATTGAAAATGTTGCAGGCTCGGTTTGATTGAGCCTGTTCATGGACGGTACTGAAAAGTGCAAGTTACCGTCCACGCCCCCTAGCACCGGCTTAAGCAGAATTCAACATTTAAACGTGAAATAGTAAAATTTTGAATTTAGAAACATCCGCAGATGGTTCATACGGCGGTTATCATGGAACCTTCAATGTGACACTTTCGTGCCATTCCATGAAAAGCGGCGTATGGTCCCCCAAGTAATAAAAAGCGTGTGCCCTAAACGAGAAAACAATGGGCGGAACTAAATAAAATGGAATTTTGAAAGGGGATCAAGAGGTTATGAAGCCTGCGTATCACAGATAAGACATCAATAGACAAATTTAAAAAGCAGGCAACATATCCTAAGGGTGATTCAACATTATTCAAGTAGGAATATTGGAACCACCCAACTAGAAAATGCCGAAAAGTTGAAACTAAAAATACCACAAGCACAACAATAATGTCGTGTTGAACGATCTTCAAGGATCGAAAATATAAAATCATTGATTAAATGTACGGGGAGACTTTTTACAGCCGCCACACGGCACAAATAACACGGATGTTATCATAAAATAGATAAATACAGAATCCCTAAAGAAAGCCCAACACGGCAAAATTGAAAATGTTGCAGGCTCGGTTTGATTGAGCCTGTTCATGGACGGTACTGGAAAGTGCAAGTTACCGTCCACGCATATGACCACTGTCATTTGGTACCAATTGCTTATATATCGACCTACCAATGTATTAGTATCAATTACAATTACAATTAATCTGTCGAGTAATGACGCCGTATTAGACTAATTAACTGACATGCTGACTAGCAAACAAAATTCAGGTTGACGTGTACATATATTGTGAAACGCCTAATAAATCTTAAGTTTTACTCAGATGTGTGAAGTTGGCGTCCTTTTGGTCTAGCGGACTGACGACGTGAAATTGGCAGCAGCAAAATAAAACAGAGGATAAACGAAAACGTACGGTGGTGAAAGGTCGAATCGAAGTTATATCGAATTTTCACCATCATAATGTCGTTATTTCGAATTTCTGCATCGTGCTTTCGACTTTTCATCATCCATCATCATACTTAATGGAAAAATAACCGTACAAACATGATAAAAGTAAAAACGTCTCTCAATTTTTTTATCTGCTAACATATCGTTTAACTTACAAGATATATCTGAAGAACTGCATTTATAACCGTTTTAATTGTTTCAAATTTCAACAAGTTTAGCCCGTTATGCCGCTAAGCCGCCAGGCCATTACACACCTTGATTTCTCGATACGATTACCACTAAATCTTTAAACATCCCCTTGTTTTAATTTTAGTTTATATCGACAGATAAATATTGATGGATTAATGAAATTCTATGAACTATATCTAATAAATGAACAAACGTAGTTTAAAAACTAATACACATGTATTTCAAAGGTTTTTTTTGTTGTGGTGATCAAAATTGAGGGATAAGCAACATATTTCTTTATATTTATTTTCTGATATGTCCTTTCCCCTGAAATATGTTTGATGTTTGATATAATTTTAATCTCTTGTTATTTCTTTGCAATATGTTTTTGTTTCTATGATTGGATTTTACGTATCCCAGACACAGTATATGTCATATGGTTTCAACTTTACCTGAGTAGAACCACCGATGTTCCGTTAGTTATCTTGATATCTTCCTGACATAAAAGAATCTAATCATGTCGGGACTGGAACCCACAGGGGTGAGGGGTATTTGATTTGAAGTCAACGAACTTAACCACTCGACCACGGACGCCCCTTTCCTAGCAATATATATTGCATCAACTATCATAATATAAAGATGTCAATTCATTATGTAACATAATTATCAAATATAAACGCCTGTCCTGATCATGATCCTTTAATCTTTGTGAAGTGGGTCTGACGATTTGCAAACGTAAATAATTTAATTTACGTATTGGTGTTGCGTAATTAAAAGAAAACAGTGTAACCTAGAGAGGATATTTGTTTGTTTTGCATGTAATATTGAAATATAATTTCACTGAGTGAACACCAGATGCAATAATTTCACGAGTAGCGTAGCCACGAGTGAAAATATAATAGCTGGTGTTCACGAATGAAATATATTTCAATCTTATATGTAAAACAAATAAATTTTCTTTTTATTTCATGCCTTTTAAGTAATTTAAAGTACTTTTTTACTTATTTTGCCGCGTAACATCTCGCATTCTCCCTTGTGACGTCATCACATCATGACGTCACATTATCAATTTTGAAATATAGGTCTGTTACATTTCTCTAATTTTGTTATATTTTTAACATTATGTATGATGACATCGACTTTTTTTCCTAAAGAAGCACAATTTACGCATGAAGGCATTTATTTCTGTCTGTTATTCCATTTAGTTATGATTTTCTTTTCATCTGCATTCAGATATAGTCCGGCTACAGTGAAAATTATATTTTATAAATTTCACTAGTGGTTTATCAGAATACAATCATCTGATATATTACAATAAAACACTGGAAAGCATGAGATAAAAATGTGTAACAATGTTTTCTATACCATTGTAATTGAGATGACTCAAACGCACGGTTCATAGATTTTTAAAAGTATTAATGTTTTCATTTTATGTATTTGTAGTTAGATATTTTGTTGTTGTATATAAATAGATGTAAACATTTTGAGGCGCTTGGATGTGCAAACAGCTATGTCATCAACATTACTTAATTGGACTTCAAATCGTGCAATCGATGAAAAAATTGGTCCAGTACCTGAGGTTTGCAATTGCTGTAGCGGCACAAAGAATTCCCAATTGTCTTGGTGGACAGTAGATTTAGGACAAAGGTATCCTATCAGTAGCGTTACTGTGTACAGTAGAGACAACGGTTAGTATTAATCTGTTTTGTCTGCTTATATTGTAAGAAATGTGGAACTATCTGTAAATATAACGCAAAACTTTGTTTTTATTTAAAACTCAACATGTTAATTTCTGCTGAAGCCGAAACTAGGGGATAAGGGTGGCTGGGAAGGCGAGTAGAAAGGAAGCTGGTGCTTACAATTTCTGTCTATTTACAGGTTTAGTCAAACTGCATTGTTTTTATTATAATTGCCTTTTTGTGTTTTGGTTTGGGTATTTATTTCGTTATTTCAAGTAGTATGCTGTTTTTATTAAATTTTTCTGTATGGTTAATATTTACTAATCTGTATGTTTTAGAGGAAAAATATAAACAACTTACCGATTTCAAGCTTTATTTTTCTAATAATACGGGACAACGTTCATATCATCTGGTTGAAAATACCACGAGGCGGATAGATGGAAATGAACATGTGCTAACTTTTTCAAATCAGCTAACAAGATATATTAAGATCGAGAGACCAGGCATCCTGACTTTGTGTGAAGTTTTGGTGACTGAAGGGGGTGAGCACTTTTATTCTCAACTCGGATTAATGTACATTTCTATTTATTGTCTCGGTATTATTTGAATTATTGCTAGCTAGTTTACGAAGCGCAAATCATAGTAAAGTCAGTGTTCTTCAATAAATACAAGATGTTTAATAAATTTTAGAGGCACTTTGTTTGCTAAATGTAAAATTTGATTTATGGCAGAAAAAATGATGAGTATTTCATGTTTTATAGAATGTGAGGTAGGAACATTTGGCGAGGAATGCTCCCAAATTTGTCACTGTGCCGATGAACGTGCATGTGATAAAAGAAATGGATATTGTCAGTCAGATGCATGTAAATCTGGTTGGATCGGTAAATCTTGTAACCAAGGTTAGCTGACGAATGACAAGTTGTGTTACATACTCAAAATATGTTTAATGCCCCTAAAAATCTATTTTTTGCTACCTATACTTTATTAGCTTTATATGTTTTATGTAATACACTTTAATTACTAAAAATGACTTAACAGCTAAAGCTGCATGTTGTCTTTTACCTTAAAGATAGATAAATGTATGATCAACAGGCCGAGATTCAAATTACCGCAGACCTTTTTGAGATGATGATATCTATAGTACATATATATCCAGTGTAGCGAGTATTCCGATATGCTTACAGGAATTGTGACATATATTCTAATCATAGTATTGCCGCAAAGAAAACAATCTACTCTTACAGCAAAAATAAAAAGTTACGACAAGTTATATAACATTGGAATAGGCAAATATTTACTGGAATATGTTTATTTGTCAAGTATTGAAATAAATAACGGACAAATAGCTGTTACAAGTAGCAGTGACCGAATGTTACGGTAAACAAATATCACGTGATTACCTACCATGTACACTTCAGCATTCAATATTTCCGTATACAATCTTGAAATCTTGAAATTGGAAAAATCATTTTTATGTTAAAATGTTTACTTTTAAATTTGTAATAAGGCGCCCTTGTTTATCATTCATTTCATATTTTATTTAAAGCGACATTATGCTCATATTTTGATACTCAAGTTGAGCTGAATTGACTTTTTATTTCAAAATATTGACTGTTAAAATGGTGTTTGACCAACAGTTTATTTTGGAAAATTTTTATGGTAAAATTTAAAATCTGCCTTAGATAGAAAAAAACTGCCCCACTCTTTTTTATAACTGAACTTTTCAGGTAAGTTCTAATTGAAATTTACGAAAATTTAGTTTCGATCCAGGGGTTATTTATTGTTTATGTAAAGTAGATTATTAAATTAAAATGAATTGTGGCAATATAAAACTTATTTTGACTTTCACCTTTTAACTCACTGTACATACCCTTGAATGGGCATAATGCCACTTTAACTTATGCTTAAATTATTGCATAAAACGTATATGTCTGTTCATAATGCGTCTTAAGTTGAGATTGACATTTGTGTTTACAAAGAATGTCCGAAGAACACTTTTGGAGACAAGTGTAGTGAGAGCTGTTTTTGTGCAGATGGTACATGTACTAACGACTATGGGATATGTGAAAACGGTTGCCAAGACGGATACACTGGTTTCCATTGTAATCAAGGTGAGTTGATGTAATATCCTAGTGACTTACGTCTGCTATTTAAATTATATACCCATTGACGGACTTTCTTTAAGTCTCAGATGTTCACCTCAACAAGGTAATGGGCAGCATCAATGTAAGCATTGTCCTTGCTGAAGTAAAATGATAAACAATTTCATGTCTGCTTGATAAAATTTTTAAAGACTGTTTTTCAAACTTTGCACAAATGGTTACTGCAAATATGCATTGTGAAGATGTGCCTACTGAAGGTCACATTTGAAGGTGAATTTAAGATAATCTCGCGACTGCTGTTAACATTGGGCTCAAATGTTAACATAAACAAGGTGGTATACAGCACACGTGTTGCCGCTGTGATGTCTCAAGGTCAATGTCATCCTTGAAAGTTAAATGTCATACTGGTTTATGTCAGCTAAACATAAGTTTTACTTCATGAAGGGCCTTCTTCAATCTGTTCAAATGTACAGATGTGTATGAATGTCGTTTTTGTGCTTACTCAATGTCAAGGTCTCAAGGATTTAACAGCAGCCAGTGTAAGATCCTTTTAATATTAAGTGGCAATATTGTCACAAAAAACTATTCCGTGAGTAAAATGTGTTTGATGACGTGAATATCTGCACGAATTATTTTAAAAATGTAAGACAAGTACAGAAACGTTAAAGCATCTTTTTGGCAATAATATTGTGACGTCATGATTTCCAGCGCGGCAAAAAAGTCAGTAGTAAACAAATTAATGTCAGCAACTAAAAAGTATGTTATACCAAAATAGAATATGTGTTTGTTTAGTATGTAACATCACATTTTATGCATTAATAAACAACAAGTCTTATATTTTCATTCGATTTTCAGTCCTTGAAATAGTTTTTTATATTACTTGCAAAACAAGTACAAATGTATCCTCTATTGTTTGTATACAGTTGATGAAATGAACAATCAAACCCACCAGGGAGAAAAGGAGAAGAATGCAACAGCTCTCGTAGCAGGTGTTGTCAGTGGATCAATAATTGTCCTGATACTTAGCGCTTTATTTGTTGCTGTTTTAATATTTAGAAAGAGAAAAAGGTTAACAAGTTTAAATCAAAATGACATATACTTGAACGTCTTTAGCTCAAAGTTATTGCTTGAACAAATCTTGTGTAAATACAGTGCAATCTCATTCCTGTAAGACTAGAATATTTAACAATCATGATAGTTTCTAGGTTATTTTGAATTTATCTTTATTTAATATAAAGTTATGTCTGTCTGTGTTTCAAACACCGATAAATAAAGAATGCAATATAAGTTCTCTATAAACAGTCAATTCGTCTTTCTTTTACAAGTACATGAACACAGTTATATAATATGTTTAAAGGTAGAATCAATTAAATGTTTATTTTAACAAAGTCTTGAAATATACCTTTATAAAATAATTTTCGAAAATATAGAGCATGTTACACATGTTTTAATAGTATTGTGCGTTATTGTTTGTAATATTGATTTGTTAATTGGGTTTTCTTGCTTGCTGAAACTATGAATACTTATTTTTTGATTACAGTAAGAAAAATAAAAGTCACTACTCAACGCCAAAGTCTCGAGCTGCACAAGATGATCCAGATTATGACACTTTGGATGTACCCAATTGTAAATTTATATATATTGATATATTTTGCGTATGTTTTGCATACATCGTACAATAAGAGATGCAAGTTACTTTGATCTCATTATTTGCTCTGTCATTGAAATTTCGAGAACGATATAGGCCTATTTCTAATTCCACTTATTTATATAAAAAGACTCAGTTATGTGCAGTAAACGGTCGGTTCCGCTGATCTCACAGGGACAAAAGACAGAACACGTTTGTACTGCAATCGCTAATATGGCCTTTGAAGCTGATGATTTTCAAAAGTCTTTTATACTCAAACTTGCAATCTACGTACAAATGAGGACTGTTCTGTGTATACCATTTATGCTTATTTTTGTCAATTGGATAAGGAAAAATACTGATAATTTGTGTATCGTCCATGGTATTAATTGGCAAATTAACGCACATTGCTTCTGCAACGGTCTCTGCTGGTTTAACCCTTTATGTGGGAATAATAATAACATATAATTATTTATATGAAATAGCCGTGGAAAACGGCCAAGGTTTGAAGTTATTATTTTGTAAACTTTTTTGGGGAAAAAAAATAGTCTGATATAAGTATCGTTGAGCATCCGTCTGAATCATATATGGACTGAAAAGTACATTATCAATTATTATAGCATAAAATCGGCTATTTTTCCCTCTTTTGCCCATGTTAAAACGGGACAAAACCCATGTGTTAACATAGTCACGCGCTCTTGTTACAGCCCGGTTTTACCTATGCGCAATACATACAGGGCCAAGTAATCAAACATAAAATGACGATTTGGCCTGTTTGCAAAAGTGTTTTATTTAGATAATTGGTTTGAGGGCCTCAATCGCATAACGGCGAGCAGCATTCTAGTAACTATGCCGGAAATACGGCGTGTAGACATCGCCACTAATCTTGGTTGTCGTCCTTTCTAAGAAACGGAAAGTTGTCAATGTAAAAAAATAAATTTCATTCAGTTTAACCATTAAATTAACTTACAAAACAAGATAACACAAAATAAATATGAGAAAATATTGTTTTATTGATGTTTACATTGATAAATGCTCTTTATATTTCTTTGAAAGAATAATGTTTAGTGCCTGATACTATTCTTTTATCAACTTGTGAGCATGAAAAAAAAAACGATTCTGATGTCACTTATCTTTATTCTACCGTCAATCTAAAATCATTTTAGGAATTTCTAAGGGTCATGTTTTGTCTTGGGCAGAGTAATTTGATGTTGTATTTTTCTTGAGTTAATAAATTTTCAATGTAAAGCTTTGTTAAATCAATCAAAATTTGAATTTTTGGTTCTGAGCATTTGAATTTCCCAAGTAGTTGGCCCCGGAAAAATAAAACGCATACGTTAAACATGTGGAATTGGATAAATACCGTCCAAGCACAAGGATTTAATGTATGTGTTTTGTATTAAGTATACATCATGAATCTTTTTTAAATTGTATGCTTTAATAGCGTCAACGCACGTTTATTTCGTGTTATAAAGTCTGCAGAGTCCCTCGGAACTGTTGGAGCACCAACTATTCCTCGGGAGTCTGCAGACGTTATAACACGAAAAAAACGTGCGATAACCCAAAATCATACTACATATAATCTTTAAATCAAATTTATTATCATCGTTATTACGTGCCTTTAATTGTTCTATATATATTGATCCTATCTTTCTTGTCTAAACAGGTCGCTTGTATAACAATATAAGGTCATTACACCGATTATCGATAGCAAACTAAATCAAAAGCTCTATACAGAAAGCAACAAGACTGAATCATTTTATATATTAAAACAATCGGGGAAGGAGCGCTCTTGGAAGCAATGAAAAAAAAACAAACAATATAATTATATACATTTTGGAAACTAGGTTTGATAAAATCTATTCATGAGAGATAATGTAAATGTGCAACATCTCCCAAAGCCCATTAAAACCGGATTAAGCTGTATTTAATCTTAAGCACTAACTTGATGGATCGCTCCTGAAGGACCGCACAACTATAGTGTCATCGTAGAGTACACGGAAATCAAATCGTTGATGGTATATACAATATTGACAACAAAGTAAACTATGCTATCTGCAAATTGCCTTAGGAGCATATCCATTGTGTATTATCGTTAAGTATTAACAGAAAAGCTTTGCTACCCTACAACTAATTCAACATCTGAAGGGTCTCATGAAAAGTCAATGGCATATGTTCAATAACAGTCTCACAAAGTTCGGCGTCACAATGATTGTAACTTATTTGAGCAATATCTGTCAGAAACAACCAGAATACTTGTCTCTAAATGATTTTTGCTTGGCATATTTTCACTGTATTTGCAGATTATGCTCTGAAGGTTGTATCTTGTCTTTAATAAATAGAATATACCCCGTCTCTTTAAGTCTGCATTATATACTTCAAGATGTTTTTATAATGAATGTATTGTTAATAAACATAACATGAATTATGCTGAGCGCAACCAATCTCTCCGTATCATTGCAACTTTATGCTACGTATAACTATTCAAATTTGAGTTATTTTAAAATACAGTTTAAATTTATATAGTGTTAACACTTTTCCTATCTACTTGCAGATAACCAGGGCCAAATGAGTACAGCGTATGAAAATGAAGTTGTATCTAGCATGTGATGCACTTGACTCGAAGAAGGATGATAATTATTTTGTACATGAAAGTTTAGATCGTAAAAAATGATTTATAACAGAGACAGCGTTCGATATAATGTACCAATGCTTATCATTTAAGTGTTATAACACCAAATAAACTGTTGATGAATTTCTCTAACATGAACCCTGTTTGTTTCCAATTAATTCCTAACACGACGTATTGTTATTACTTTTAATCACAAAATCGGTACAATATATTGTACAAGAGGTTAAAGTTACACATTGATTGAACATTTACATTCATTAACAATATTGCTAGCGGTTATCTTATCAAATATGTCTCACTACGCGTCATATGTAAAAAAATCAATTTATTTTGTATCTCTAAGATTTCGAATATATTTAGAAATATTTATATGTTGTTTCTTGTTTAGTACAAGCTTTAAACCCAATTGTTTCGACCGTCCCAGTTTGTTTCGGTGCTCCATTCTGTATGTCTTACACTTAATTGTGGTTTATGATATTTTCCTTAATAGCTTTGTCGTAGAAGAAAGTGCCACTGTTCATTTAAAATACATCTGACATGCTCTATATTATAGAGAATGTGATGATTTTTGTGTAACTTCAGTTGTTGCATTTAACAGCATTTAATCGTGTGATTATAATTATTTCTGTGGCATGTTTGTACAAAATTAATCATTTCTGTATTATACATGTAGCACTTTTCTTCTTTCATTCGAACAAAACTAACGTATGTTGGATGTACTGTAATTGTGTACTCTTTTCAAGTTTATTGTGTACGTATTTTGGCAAGTATACATATGTTCGTGAAGTACGCGGGCTAACGGGCTGACAGTCTGGCGGGCTAACAGTGTGAACTGGGCGGGCTAGCAGTGTAGCGGGCTAACAGTGTGAACTGGGCGGGCTAGCAGTGTAGCGGGCTAACAGTGTGAACTGGGCGGGCTAGCAGTCTAGCGGGCTAACAGTGTGAACTGGGCGGGCTGGCGGGCCAGCGGGCTAAAATCTAAAACTTTATTGATTGAACATAAAAATGTTATGATACATTACCTGGCAGTGTGAACTGGGCGGGCTAACAGTGTAGCGGGCTAGCAGTGTGAACTGGGCGGGCTGGCGGGCCAGCGGGCTAAAATCTAAAACTTTATTGATTCAACATTAAAACCTCATGATACATTTCCTAGCAGTGTGAATTGGACGGGCTGACAGTGTAGCGGGCTAGCAGTGTGAACTGGGCGGGCTGGCGGGCCAGCGGGCTAAAATCTAAAACTTTATTGATTGAACATAAAAATGTTATGATACATTACCTGGCAGTGTGAAGTGGGCGGGCTAACAGTGTAGCGGGCTAGCAGTGTGAACTGGGCGGGCTGGCGGGCCAGCGGGCTAAAATCTAAAACTTTATTGATTCAACATAAAAACGTTATGATAAATTACCTGGCAGTGTGAACTGGGCGGGCTAACAGTGCAGCGGGCTAGCAGTGTGAACTGGGCGGGCTGGCGGGCCAGCGGGCTAAAATCTAAAACTTTATTGATTGAACATAAAAATGTTATGATACATTACCTGGCAGTGTGAAATGGGCGGGCTAACAGTGTAGCGGGCTAGCAGTGTGAACTGGGCGGGCTGGCGGGCCAGCGGGCTAAAATCTAAAACTTTATTGATTGAACTTAAAATGTTATGATACATTACCTGGCAGTGTGAAGTGAGCGGGCTAACAGTGCAGCGGGCTAGCAGTGTGACTGGGCGGGCTGGCGGGCCAGCGGGCTAAAATCTAAAACTTTATTGATTGAACATAAAAATGTTATGATACATTACCTGGCAGTGTGAATTGGGCGGGCTAACAATGTAGCGGGCAACAGTGTGAACTGGGCGGGCTGGCGGGCCAGCGGGTTAAAATCTAAAACTTTATTGATTGAACATATAAACGTTAAGATACATTACCTGGCAGTGTGAAGTGGGCGGGCTAGCAGTGTAGCGGGCTAGCAGTGTGAACTGGGCGGGCTGGCGGGCCAACGGGCTAAAATCTAAAACTTTATTGATTGAACATAAAAATGTTATGATACATTACCTGGCAGTGTGAATTGGACGGGCTGACAGTGTAGCGGGCTAGCAGTGTGAACTGGGCGGGCTGGCGGGCCAACGGGCTAAAATCTAAAACTTTATTGATTGAACATAAAAACGTTATGATACATTACCTGGCAGTGTGAAGTGGGCGGGCTAACAGTGTAGCGGGCTAGCAGTGTGAACTGGGCGGGCTGGCGGGCCAGCGGGCTAAAATCTAAAACTTTATTGATTCAACATTAAAACCCCATGATACATTTTCTAACAGTGTGAATTGGACGGGCTGACAGTGTAGCGGGCTAGCAGTGTGAACTGGGCGGGCTGGCGGGCCAGCGGGCTAAAATCTAAAATAGATAAATACAGAATCCCTAAAGAGAGCCCAACACGGCAAAATTGAAAATGTTGCAGGCTCGGTTTGATTGAGCCTGTTCATGGACGGTAATGGAAAGTGCAAGTTACTAAATCTAAATCTTTATTGATTGAACATAAAAACGTTATGATACATTACCTGGCAGTGTGAAGTGGGCGGGCTAATAGTGTAGCGGGCTAGCAGTGTGAACTGGGCGGGCTGGCGGGCCAGCGGGCTAAAATCTAAAACTTTACTGAATGAATATGAAAACGTTATGATACATTACCTGGCAGTGTGAAATGGACGGGCTAACAGTGTGGCGGGCTAGCAGTGTGAACTGGGCGGGCTGGCGGGCCAGCGGGCTAAACTTTAAAACTTAATTGAATCAACATTAAATAGATAAATACAGAATCCCTAAAGAAAGCCCAACACGGCAAAATTGAAAATGTTGCAGGCTCGGTTTGATTGAGCCTGTTCATGGACGGTACTGGAAAGTGCAAGTTACCGTCCACGCCCCCTAGCACCGGCTTAAGCAGAATTCAACATTTAAACATGAAATAGTAAAATTTTGAATTTAGAAACATCCGCAGATGTGTTCATACGGCGGTTATCATGGAACCTTCAATGTGACACTCCCGTGCCATTCCATGAAAAGCGGCGTATGGTCCCCGAGTAATAAAATGCGTGTGCCCTAAACGAGAAAACAATGGGCGGAACTAAATAAAATGGAATTTTGAAAGGGGATCAGAGGTTATGAAGCCTGCATATCACAGATAAGACGTCAAAAGACAAATTTAAAAAGCAGGCAACATATCCTAAGGGTGATTCAACATTATTCAAGTAGGAATATTGGAACCACCCAACTAGAAAATGCCGAAAAGTTGAAACTAAAAATACCACAAGCACAACAATAATGTCGTGCTGAACGCTCTTTAAGGATCGAAAATATAACATCATTGATTAAATGTACGGGGAGACTTTTTACAGCCGCCACACGGCACAAATAACAAGGACGTGGTCATAAAATAGATAAATACATAATCCCCAAAGAAAGCCCAACACGGCAAAATTGAAAATGTTGCAGGCTCGGTTTGATTGAGCCTGTTCATGGACGGTACTGGAAAATGCAAGTTACCGTCCACGCCCCTAGCACCGGCTTAAGCAGAATTCAACATTTAAACATGAAATAGTAAAATTTTGAATTTAGAAACATCCGCAGATGTGTTCATACGGCGGTTATCATGGAACCTTCAATGTGACACTTCCGTGCCATTCCATGAAAAGCGGCGTATGGTCCCCGAGTAATAAAAAGCGTGTGCCCTAAACGAGAAAACAATGGGCGGAACTAAATAAAATGGAATTTTGAAAGGGGATCAGAGGTTATGAAGCCTGCATATCACAGATAAGACGTCAAAAGACAAATTTAAAAAGCAGGCAACATATCCTAAGGGTGATTCAACATTATTCAAGTAGGAATATTGGAACCACCCAACTAGAAAATGCCGAAAAGTTGAAACTAAAAATACCACAAGCACAACAATAATGTCGTGCTGAACGATCTTTAAGGATCGAAAATATAACATCATTGATTAAATGTACGGGGAGAATTTTTACAGCCGCCACACGGCACAAATAACACGGATGTGATCATAAAATAGATAAATACAGAATCCCTAAAGAAAGCCCAACACGGCAAAATTGAAAATGTTGCAGGCTCGGTTTGATTGAGCCTGTTCATGGACGGTACTGGAAAGTGCAAGTTACCGTCCACGCCCCCTAGCACCGGCTTAAGCAGAATTCAACATTTAAACATGAAATAGTAAAATTTTGAATTTAGAAACATCCGCAGATGTGTTCATACGGCGGTTATCATGGAACCTTCAATGTGACACTCCCGTGCCATTCCATGAAAAGCGGCGTATGGTCCCCGAGTAATAAAATGCGTGTGCCCTAAACGAGAAAACAATGGGCGGAACTAAATAAAATGGAATTTTGAAAGGGGATCAGAGGTTATGAAGCCTGCATATCACAGATAAGACGTCAAAAGACAAATTTAAAAAGCAGGCAACATATCCTAAGGGTGATTCAACATTATTCAAGTAGGAATATTGGAACCACCCAACTAGAAAATGCCGAAAAGTTGAAACTAAAAATACCACAAGCACAACAATAATGTCGTGCTGAACGATCTTTAAGGATCGAAAATATAACATCATTGATTAAATGTACGGGGATTAAAACCTCTTGATTCATTTCCTAGCAGTGTGAACTGGGCGTTTTCGTTTAAACTTTATTGAATATAAATTAGAATTTGAATAGTTTTCTTGAAACGACATCATAACGACATCAGCAATTGTATCTTTTTACGTTGTACTGTGTAAATTCGAGTTTTATTATTGAACTACAAATTTCGTTAGCACTTAATCCGGATATTGTCATTTTGTTTCAATTTTTTGTTTGTTTCCAAACTGTAATGATAATGTGATTTTGAAACAGAAGCTATATGACACTATTAACATCATTTTCAACAACTTCTCTGCATAATTTTATTGGACAATTTAACTGTATAACATAATGTTTTACTTTTAAAAACTTATTTTTTAACCTTATATTTTCGGTATTATCTGTAATTGATAAATATCATTGTTTACCTATAGGTTGAAAATATTTGATTTTATAGCACATATGCATGTTTTATAGCTTTTAACCTTTATGGGCAAGTAATTTCTTATTTTAACTAATGTCTATTCGAGTGTCATCCAGAAATGAATGACAGTTGTCTAATGCTAGTTATATCAGAATTAGGGATATCTTTGTTTCTAATAAATACATTTAGTTTATGTGTCTCTCTCATATGTTGTAATCATGCATACAATATTTTCATTCAAGGTATATTAATCTATATGCATGGCAAATTTGATCAAGTTATCTTGATTTGACTGTATTATTGCTTTCTTGTTTAAATTATGTTGTTTTTTTTTTCTCGAAAATCTAAAATCATTTTAAGGCCCACACCTAAGAACAACAAAGAATTACCATAGCATGAAACGCTAAGTTACTTTCAGTATATAAATGGACAATTTGCAATATGTTTGACAAAATTTATTCAACAATTGTCATTCATTTTTATATTTTTGAAAATTATCTAACGTTTTATCATGTATTGATTTTCATGTTTGTTCATTCGTTTGAACTAATGTATTATGCACATCCACGATACATAAACTTTGTTGGCTTGTGTATGTATTCAGAAATATTTTTATGTTGCATGTTGTCAGTAAGAATGCATAAGCTCGTGAAAAATTTCGAAATTTTCGAAAGGTTTATTAACCACAAATACTGTTCCTTGACATTTCTTAATATTTTTTGAAAAATAACTTTTGCATAATATTTGAGA